GCGGGTCGTAGTTTGGAGATCCCTGGGCCAAACTATAACCTCGTTACCGTTAACCACGCCTTTTTGGCTTTACCTTTACTTGTAGCTTGTATTCCAAGCTCTGGACAGAAAAGATTAATTACCTGTTGGACACCCCTCCCGTATATTAGAGATGATAAGGGTAGGAGGGAGAAGTATGACCGAGGGGGCGCCATGGATCGGAGACAAAAATAGAAAACATATATTTAATATTCCTAAAAACAGCGATATTTCTATCCTTATTTTATTTTCACCAATACCTATTCATTCATTCCACCTTACTCTAATTAATAGAGTAGCACGATCTACTGAGAACGGGGTGAAATATGGAATGAGGCATAGGCGCAGACTTCAGGTGGCGGAGGAAATCCCCTCCAATAGAAATGTTGAGGGAGCGAGAATATCGTCTCCTCCATCCCCGCCAATAATTTGAAGTAAAAAACAAAATAAATGAGCTATATGAATGATTAAAATATGTAAACTAAAATTGTTTAAGAAAAGTGGACTAACTGACTAAACTAAGGCTTATGAGTAGGTAAGTAACTATTTTATAACGACCTAAATATTCCTATTTATAAAATCTTAGGATTTTATGATTCATTCAACTCTCATGTGGACACTTTTATTTTTTACTATAAAGTATGAATTAAAAGTTTAAATACGTAAGTAAGTACGAATATAAATGTATTTTACAAAGAATGTTTTTATAGACATTTTTACATAACTAGTTAGACTAAAAACATTATATATTTATTTTAAAGTTGTGTAAACTAAGAAATCAAAAATATTTTTTTACTAAAAAATATTCATATATTTTAACATTATTCATTTTTAGCTGGAAAAGTTATGGAAATGTACCTATGTTATGAAAGCTGCCCCCCTTTCTCCCATGTTTAAAGTATACAAATTATAATATATTCAATTGTTTTGATCAGATATTTTCAAATATAGCCATATGCACATAAAAAATCCTACAACTGGCCAAACATACATATAAATTTATTTTTAAATATTCAATATTATATATGTTCGTTTCTCAATAATTATGTTGGATTTTTACACATAATATGAACTACAGCCATTTGATTTTTCTAGTCCATCGACCCCCCTCCCCCTCTCCACCCTCCCGAATACAAATGGAAAGTCTGCGCCTCTGGAGTGAGGCATCTTCTTCTCATTGAGGAAGGAAGATGCTATAGAACAATAATTTTTGTATTCCTCAATTCATTGGTCAACACAGAGACAAGGCTGAAGATCAAGGGTGTATTTTGGGTTCAATTCTTCAACTCAATTATCTCAAACTGAGAATTAATAATGGACACAAATTGTTTAGGGATGTTTGGAAAATGTTGGTTTCCTAATTTCTGATGTTGGCTATGCAGAAGGTTATGGTTGATTCCAACCACAAAATAATCAAATCATAATTATAACCAGAAGCACAATGCCCTGCTTATGTTACTTTACTTCTCTGACATTTCTTAAGCATAATTTGTCTTCAAATCTAATATTTTTCTTCTCTCCTGTTTTCATTACAAATGTATTAGATTGTTTGTTAACAGTGGTAACTTCATCTTAAAGAACAACAACTGGTCAGTACCATTACTTAATTTTACCATTATTTAAAATATGTTTTGTGTTGTCATAATTTTACCATTATTTTTTTTTCTTATATTATTTCTTAATGATATTTAAAACTGTATTAAAGAAATACATTTAGTAAATTTGAACATATGGATACAATGACGTAAAAACACTTGTTGAGTAACTATCCAATGGTAGCACTCTAATGATATGTCTACATTAGGAGATCATAGGGCCATCTTATTTTCAGATGCCTCGGAGGGTTATCAGGAATTGAAGAGGAAGCAAGGTTAGAAACGAGAGGGTTGGGATGATTCTGAAGTTTATTATGGAAGGATAGTTATCTGTATTGGGCCAGCTCTGAAACATAAGAAACATTAAGGTCATTATGGATCGTTTTATTTATAACAAAGTAGGGAGCATTGAGGATTTTAGATTGTAAGGATTGGATACGAGAGGAATTCGATGGCTTAGTGGAGCCCCATAGCTCAACTCCATAAGTCCAAATAGTCCTTATTATAGTCATGTATTTGAGTCTTTTGTAATTAATTGGAAATTTAAAGCGTTTGTCTAGTAAGTGCTGAAGTAATCAGAAACGTCGAGCAGTTTCTTGTCGTTTCAGTCTGGTAACCATTGTTTAAAAGATGTTTTGTGTTGTCATAATTTTCAATTTTCTTCTAAAAAGGATGCATGGGTTAAATATATATATATATATATATATATATATATATATATATATATATATATATATATATATATATATATATATATATATATATGGCTGGTTATTTTAAACAAATCCAAATGAATCAGAAATCACAGAACCAAAAGATGCTTGTAGTAAACCACACCAAGTAAAGTTTTGTCATGAAAAAGCATCTGACTTTTGTTTCTAGTGTTCTTTATAGCTCTTAAATAGGAATTTCTGTTAAAATAAAAAAAACATAAAATTTTGGACTTAATTTTTACCAGGATTTGTTTCCCCTAAAGTTCACAAAAGCATTCATAACTCCTCAGGGGTTTTTACTAATGCAATATTACTATAATTGTTGAAAAGCTGAATTAATGCTCATTCAACCTAAATTTTAATGACACAACATTCAGGTCTGAAGAACCCTTGAACATGTCTAATATTTTCAGTGTATGTATTGTCCACCAAAAAGTTTCATTTGCATCAGTGATCCCACACCCACATCCATAACCTTCCCTTTCAACAATATTTCAGGGTAGGATCGCATAAAAAATAAAAAACTTATTCTTTAATGTACTTTTACTTAACACAAAATTTTAATAATTTCTGAGGCATTACATGTTTAAGCATTACCATACTATTATTCATAATTATATTAAACATACCTGATATTCACAATATTACTCAATTCTTCTTCGGTGCATACTATTATTTTCAAGTCAATTTATTACTAGCCATATTTACACCAATTTAAAAAAAATTTGTTGTCACTCAATATACATGACATTAAGACACAAATTGAAAAATGTAATGGGAACAAACAACAACCTAAAAAATATTTTAGCGTCTCATATATTAGAAACTTAACTGATAAAATTGAAAGAACATTTAAACAATACGATGTAAATGAAATTAAATTTGCAAGCAAACCAATTAATAAATTAGATACAATTTATTCGAAAACTAAAGATAAAGTACCTATCGATAAATTAACGAATATTATTTATAAAATAAATTGTAAGAATTGCGACAACAAAGCATATTTTGGACAAACATCCCAATGGTTTGAAAAAAGGCTTAAACAGCATAAACAAAATTGTAATTCAAAAAACACAAAAATTAAATTAGCTACTGGACTCTCACAACATAATATGCAAACTAAACATGAGTTTGATTTCAAAAATGCCAAAATCCTACATAATGAAAGAAATACGAATAAACGTAGAATTAAAGAATCAATATACATAACTAAAAACTTAAAAAACTCAGTAAATAATCATACAGACGTGGATAATATGAATACTTTTTATGCTAGTTCTATTGAAAAAATCAAAATTTGAAATAAATCAGCTAATATTACTTAAAATAGATCCACATGTAATATTGAGTAACAGCATTATATATGTTCATAATAAATAGTCTTCCCCTACTCCTATAAGAATAACCAGTCACTGAATAGAAATGAGATGGATGACATGTGGGTGACTCAGAAACATGGTAAATTTAACTTAGTTTGAATCATGGAATAGTAAAGATGAGTAATAATAATGTTGTTAAATAATTAAAGGTGAACATGACAATAATAATGAATTTTATTATATTGTAGACGCTTGCAATTCGCATAAGTGAAAATGACAGGTACATGATGGGTATTTTAGGTACATAATAAGTATCTTTATAATTTGAAATATGTTAAAATTTAATATATGATTGTAAATGAAAAAATTTTTTTAGACTTGAAAATGGCTCGACGAGCCGAAACGTCGTCATTTTGATGAGTGGTCATTGAGTGACAACAAAAATTTTTTTTAAATTGGTGTAAATATGGCTAGTAATAAATTGACTTGAAAATACCTGATATTTTTTTTAACTGTCACAATAATCCTATACAATGTACCATCCCTCCCTTTGAAGGGGAGGGTTGGAACAGAAAATTATTTTTCTTGGTATTTTGGTAAACCTCTCTAAAAATATTCATAGTAAAAATCCAAAAGAAATCAAATCAGATGTCAATACATAAGAATCTGTGTACATAAAGTTAAAATTCAAAATGAGACATCACATAAATTACATTTGAAAATGGCAAAATTGTCGCAGCCCAGCCCACTTTTCCCAACTAAAATATTTAATTTTGTAATGGCAAGAACAATCATAGTTGGAGATGTATTTAGGATAAACACTACACAGTTTATTGGTATAGGCACTGTACTGAAATGTCTATACCAGCTATTTCCATTGGTGGGAGCAGTGGCATACCTAGACTATTTGGATCGGCATGGTTTTTTTTAAGCACCGAAAAATAAAAAAATTATTTTCAATTAATGAATTATTGTTTCAACATTTTAATCAATTACTAGCACCATGTTCATTGTTTTAACATTCAGTTGAATAACTAGCCAACTGAATATAAATATAATATGATGCATTTTCTAAAACAAATCAACTAAATAAAAAATACATTTTCTTCTATTTTCAATGTTCATACTTAAACTCATTAATAGATGGTTATTTTTTAGTTAAAAGAACATGGTTTTGACTGCTCCCTCCACCCCCTTCCCTCCCCCAGATACACCACTGGGTGGGAGAGTTCTAAATGTATTTTTCTTGTTTTGCTACTATGCAGATCGCTACAAAACAGTTACCAAAATTCTAATTGACACATTAGGTCTGGTACAACATATGAATTGAAAGGTCAAATAAAATATATTTGTAAAAAACAATAAACAAATTTATTTATTTGAAATAAATAATGAACAGTAAATGAAAGGTAAAAAAAATAATTAACAGTCATTTTCATAAATCTAAAAATGTAAAGTTGAAAAAATTAAAAAATATAAATTATGGAATAAACTATCATCACTGACTGCAATATATTTACATCAGTTGGTAACACTACTTAAGATAACACATAACTAAGCTTTTGAGAAAAATGGATAAGTTAATATCAAGAGAACAAGAAATGAACAACAGAGCCCCTTCATAAAGACTAGAACAAGTGTCATATACTATGGGCATCTTTTTTCTCCTTATTCCAACCAAGACTTACTTTCACATCCTTGTGAATTTTGAGTTGAGGCCGAATCGCATGATAGGAGAGGTGATATCAAGGATCATATCAACTCTGGATGGTAATATGAAGTCTGGAAAAACAGACAGTGTTGCCCTACAGGCTTTACAGACCAAGATACTACTACGCTAGAAAAGGAACAAAGAGTTTTCAACAAAGTTTCTTTTAATATTTTGAAAGACAATCAGGCAATAAAATAGAAAAGGGAGAAAGGGACATTAATAGACGTATCATTATTATATTTAACATTTTTCCTGAGAGTCATCTTCTTCACCGCTAAGTCTTGTAGCTTTACTTATTCTATATACATTTACTGAATTAGCAGAATCATCAAATTTACAGCTTATGTGAAGGTCTGAAATAAGGAATGTATAAAATTGATTGGAATATCGTTGTTTGATATAGGTTGAACGTGGATCTTCTTTCAGAATCCTTTGAATAACAGGTTTTAATTCAGCTTTACCAAGGTTATTAAGTTGTTCTTCAGCTTCATTAGTTAAAGTTATAGCTTTAGGAGAAGAGGTCATAACCCATGAAGGCACGCGAACATTCTGAAAACAATTCAATAATATATGCCATTTAATTTTGAAAAAACAAATATCAACTATCATAGCATTTTCATAAATCTGATTATATTTCTAAATATTAAAATGTATTGAATCATTACGCAAAAAGGAAATTAAAAAAAAAAAGGTTAAAACCTGTATATCTCTATATAAAATAACAATAACTCAAATAGAAACATAAATTAATTGATAGGATATAAATGGAAGAAATCCTCATGTCTTTACAATATATGTAACAATAAACCTGTCAATGTTTTGTTGATACAGACATCGTCAGAATACACAAGATAACATGTGTGTAAATTAAACACATCACATCACATATCAACAGCCAAAAAAGATCCATTAACTGATGATTATACATAACTCATTCACACTGACATTCAGACATTCATATACAAACTGAAGGAATATCTGAGAAAGATTATATGCAAACAGATCAGTGCTGTTTCGTTTCCAATAATAACTTTCCTAGGAACATAAAATCCCCTTGAAGAATACACAATGAGTGTAATAAGAAAGCTTTGCAATGGATGTGACAACAAAAACAATGGTGTCCTACATATCAGAAAGCCTTAGGATGTTAACTGCAATATTACACCCACCTAAAATTAATTAAAATTTTAAAATTATTAGTTCTGTGAATGGTATTCTACCAGTTTCAATCTTCAAAGTAATCACCTTGCAATAGCAATGTTACCATTGATACTGCAAGGTGATTATGCATGCATATATATATATATATATATATATATATATATATATATATATATATATATATATGTATATATATATATATATATGGCTGGTTCAAGGTTACAAGGTTAAGGCTTGCCCTCATTTATATCTATTGACACAAATTAGCAAATAATGAACGAATAAATTAACATTTTTTTATTCTAATAAAGTACTATTATAATTAACCATATTGCATTAATAAGCCACTCAAATAATTCATACTTCTTAATACTCAATAGTGCGGGTAGGTTCCTTCAATAATAAATTTTTAAAATTATTTTCTTTAAAGCTGGTATAATCCCCACTGTGGTCTACACAGGTCTATTTCCAGTCAATCACAAAAACAATAAATACACACCTGGGGCAATGGATGAACTAATGACTTCATAACTTGTTCTTCATCAGATTCTTCACCATCAGGATCTTCTCTGTTTCCTGGATAAATACCAGGAGATCCAGGTGGCACTGTCATGTTTTTAACACCAAGTAAATCTCTGTTTATTTCTAATTCTTGCTCTGATGGATCATCATATTGAGGTATATAAGGTTTAATGTCAAGAACTGGAGTCTTATCAAGCATATCAACACCAGAAAAGTAAATTGTTGAACCTAGAAAAAAAAATCTTTTTAACCTAGGAATGAGGACAGCGACAAAGGAAAGAATAATAAATGGATGTTCATTTAATTAAAATTATCCCTAATGTTTATACATACACCTTTCTCTAATCCTAGATATAAAGGGTACACATAGGAAGGATTACAGGCTGAACAACTCACCTCATTATTATTCAGCAAAACATCCCATTCTCTAACCTCAAAAATTAAAAAAAATAATTAATAATTCGATTAAAAATGGTCTGTACCAGGAACTATCAGAATTATTTTATACTGACACATGTCCTAGAATAATCATATTTCCTGAATCACCTGCAAATTCACCAATCTTCTATAACATATCCTGATACCCCATACCGACAAGGAATTATCACCTCCTCACTTCATATCTACATTTCTCTTGGCAATCTTACTGACATGTAAGCTTGAGATGAGCCAAAAGAAATTAATGAATGGTTTTATGAGATTCATCTACAGGCTTCTCAGGCACTCTCATGTCACCATTTGATAGAGTGAGTTAAGGTAACCTTTTTTCCAATACCTATACTTCCTAGGGGTCATTCCAAACTTCCCTTTTCTAAATTTTATCACCTTTATCAATTTTTTTTATGCTACCTCCACGTTTGCCAACTAGTATCCCATTCTTTTAAAAGATAGTAAAATTGTTGTTCAAAGGCCAAAGTAAATTAAAGTAAGAAAATTACAAGAAAGTAGAACATATTAGTGAATAAAAAGCCCATAGGTATATATTCATTTTAAATCAATAGGTAAACATACCTTCTATGCAATGTATTCGAACTAGAGACAGTCCAATCGGAGATGGTCGATGAGGAGATCTAGTAGCAAACACCCCTGTCTTGTCACCTTTTAACCTTGGGGGTGAAACTTTAGCTAAGGCATGTTTGCTTTCATTACGATTAAAGTGAAATAAAATCCTAAGAAATGTAAAAAATCATATATAAGTAAAAAAAAAAAATTACAATAATGCACTAATAGATTTATTTACAATAATAATTATGGTGGAGAAACGGTTGACTGTAGATAAGAGAAATTGGTTGGAGATTGCAATCATTAGAAGTACACAGAAAAAATATTTATTTTATTTGTGCTGATGAATTCGACATCTGTCAGATATCTTTTGAATGAGCAGCCCTGATGAAGGCCTGGAACTTCCCCAACCAACTTCTATTATAGTAATAATTATGATAACAAATTAAAAAAAAAAATGAAAATATAAAAAATAGACAATACTACATTTATCATTTTGTTAAATTATTATACTGAAGTATTTATCTGTAACTTGATTAGGAAGTGCAGGACAGTATTCAGGATGAAAGTGGAATTTAAAAAAATGTAAAAGATATGATTGTTGTCGATGCTGTCAGAAATGAAATGATGATATGATTGTTTTCTTTTGGTTCTGTCTGATGGCTAATAGAACCAAAAGGGAATAGTTGTACTGTAAGATAAATTAAAAACATGAAAAATTCAAAGTAATTTCATAGAAAAACAAGTAACATTTTGAAATTAATTTTAATATTGGTCAACATTTCTAACTTGAAAATGGATGCATGGAAACTGCCCAGGGGTTGCATTAAGGGTTTGCAAGTGGTACACGACAAGCTGATGAAAATAATTTTAAAACACCTTTCCACTAAATCTTTTTTTATTATTTTCAACCATCACAGTTTTTAAATATAATCTATTACCTATATAAATAAGTATAAAAAAGAGTATAGTTAGTTAAAGTTAAATAGCAAAAATAGGGAAAAGTTTTGTTGTAGTTGTACATTTTGATTTTGGGTTTTCATAAAGTTTCAATATACCAAATAGGAATAAACTTTTTATCTATTTTTGGGCAATTTTTGAAGTTTAATACCACATATGGTCACTAGAAATGTAACATGGGTAGTTTACAAGGAAATTGGATGTAAAAATCGATAAACCTTGTTTGTACCATTTTTGGTAATTAGGTCCATTTTACAGCAGTCTCTTTCAACAGTATTGAAATCACAAGAAATCTCAAATTAAGGGTGTACAATGCTATGAAAAAGTCAGTACTGATATACAGATGTGAGATGTGGACACTAGCCAGGACCCTAAAAAGATTTGAGAGAAAATTCCTCTGCATGATAACCGGAGTGATCTGAGATCAGAGTACTAATGCATGGAAGAGGACCAATAAAGAACTGCATAACAGAAACTGGTCAATGAAAGTCTCATGATATAAGGCAAGAAGGTTAAGATGAGCAAGATATGTAGCTCACAGCAATCCATCTGGAAGCCTCTATGCAACAATGAATGCCTCAATAGTTGGAAAAAGAACACATGAATGTCTGTCCACATGGAGTGTGTCCAGTGCTCTCGCCATGTAAACATCAACAATTATTTCCATCTTACGTTACATAGTGAATAATTTGGAACTTAAACTGAATTACAAAGTGCTCATCGGTTCAAACCGTTCTACTCTCACTGAAGAAGTCATCGGAGAATAGTCTTCAATTTAAAAAAACATAGTAACGAGAAGAAGTATTTACATTACTCATCTATAAATGGTGAATCGACATATTGCCTAGTAGTGGAGAGCGCATGCGCAGGAATTAGTTCGACTGACATATGTCCATCGTCTTCAGAAATCTCACGATCTTTTCTATTTTTTTTTCCCCCTTTTCTCTTGAATATTTCTCTAAAAAACAAATAAAAATGATCAATTGCCCCTTATGTAAGCAGATTTTGTCAAGGGAAGATAAAAAAATGTTAATTTGTTCCGCTCCCACCTGCCAAGCGATTTATCATGGAAAATGTTTAAATGTAGAAATAAAATACATTGAATCCCTAAAAAAAGAAATGTCTTGGAAATGCCCCAATTGTGACAAGGCCCAAAAAAATAGTTTGCCTAACGAAAGAGGCACGAGCTCGCAGTATACCACTGGGGATGCTGCATCCCAGTTGCTGCTCTGCAATCAAAGAGCTTACAACGGAGGTTAAGAGCATGAGAAGTTCCGTTGAAGCTAATGTCTCCGACCTGAAGGATTTAAAATCATCATTGGAAACCCAGGCATCTATCACTTTCGAAAACTCGGAGCAATTAAAAACCACAGAGTCGCTTCTGGAAGCTCAAAACTAGAAAATAGATGGCTTGGTTTTAGAGAATTCGACTCTAAAAACATGATTGTCAGAGCTTGAAATAAAGCTAAACAGATCCCAGCAACAGCACCTGGTTATAACCGCAGAGATTGGAGGAATTCCGGTGAGACCTGGTGAAACTCCAATGGGCCTGGTAGTGAGTGTGGGCGCAGTGCTGGGGCTAAGCCTTAGGCTGGAAGATGTGGACGGCGTAGAGTGATCATAACTCGGCAAGATAACACTCCCGGTTCATTATTAGTCAAATTTGTCAGACAAACACTAACAGATTAGCTGATTCATAAACGTAAAATGGTAAGAGGTGTATCTCGGATCAATCCAACCTAATTATTTCCATATCTTTTGCTCCTCCAACCGATTCAGTATCCCAATCTACCATCTCTTATGACTAATGTCTTATTATCCTGTCATGTCAACGCTCAGTCACTTTTAGCCCACACAGATGAATTCCAAGATTTCTTCCTCCACAACTTCTACCACATAATCGCTAACTCTGAAACTTGGATAAAACCCACGATCACATCCTCTCAAGTTTCACTCACTAACTATACCCTACTCCGTCATGATAGAGAAAATAGAATCGGAGGCAGAGTAGCCATTTTTGTCCATGATAGCCTGAAATCCAAAATCCTTGCTTTGTCTCCTTTCTCCGTTTCCCCACATATCGAATATCTTTTTGCTGAAATATCCACCTCATATTTATTGCTCATTGGTGCCATCTACCGACCACCTAGAGTCCCCTTTGATGAAACACTCGAGACCATCCTCTACGAACTGAGCCCTTTCTACTCTAATATTGTTCTTTTCGGAGAATTCAATACCAACTTATTATTTCCTTCCTCTGACCAAGCCTATTTATCAAACTTCCTCTGCTCTCTTAATCTGTATATAGTCCTGTACAACCCTACCCACCACACCCAATACTCAGACTCTTGGCTCGATCTTTGCATTATTGACTCTCCTGATAAACTCCTCGCCTCATCACAGCACCCGGTTCCTTTTTTGTCCGCTCATGATTTCATACAGGTCACCTATAACCTTCCTGTTCCTCTATTCTGTCACCGATCTATATCTTTCAGAAACTTTAATCTCCTATCATCCAAACTTTGACACCTGATCTTGGCGTCCAATGCGACTCCATATACTCCTCTAACTCTGTTGATTTGATGATAGAAACCTTAACCAATCAACTGCAAAGCACCTGCTACCGTCATGCTCCTCTTATAGTCAGGACAATCAAGTATCCCCCAGCCCCTTGGTTGACGCCTGCGATAAAAAATTTTATCCAATGAAGAGACGCAGCAAGACGAAGGTTTAAGTGCACTCAACTCCCAAAAGACTACACTAATTTCAAGCTGCTTCGAAACAGTACGCAATCCGTGATACGCCGTGCCAAATCCCACTACTACCAACAATCCTTATCCAGCACTCCAAACCCCAAAGCCATGTGGGCAATCCTCTGTAAATTATCCTTAGGCAAACCCATCCAAACCCAGACTACCTCTTTTTTTTTTTTTTTTTTTTTTTTTTTTTTTTTTTTTTTTTTTTTTTTTTTTTTTGTTCTTCCCTACCTCGCCGTTTAGGCTATACGGGATTTTCCCGGGCCGGAGGGTGGGGGCGGAGAATTTAAAATCCCCTCTGGCACCGGGATGCGAACTTGTACTTTTCTTGTCTCTCAAATCTTCATATATCTGGTTGCCAGGCGACTCGCGGTGCAGTGCACACGCTTTAGCCTATTCGGCCACCCCGCCCCACAACCCCCAGACTACCTCTATTTTAGCTAACATACTCAACACTCATTTTGTCTCCTGTTCATCCTATCCCTCTGTCCAAGCACCAGGTCCACCCCTCATGCATCCCCCCTTTAATCCCAATCATTTTTTCTTTTCGCATATTATCCCTGACAACCTCCTTAAATCCATTTGTAAATCCCAAACCAAAGATTTTGGAACAGATAATATCCCAGTTAAATTAATTAAATCCTCACTTCCATCCATTTTCTCAATCCTTTATCATATCTATAATTTTTCACTACAAAGTTCCACTTTTCTCAGCACCTGGAAAACCGCCTTTATTCGTCCGCTGAACGAAATCTCTAATCCCACAACCCCTAGTGATTTCCGTCCAATTTCTCTGTTATCTAACCTTTCCAAACCTTTAGAACAAATAGTACAATCACAACTATCCCAATATCTCGACCAAAATAACCATTTGAACTGCTTACAGTCTGGTTTTAGATCTGACTACTTCACTCATTCTGCTCTCATTAAAATCTCCATACAGCCATAGACCAACAGAAACTCACCATCCTGATCCTTCTTGATTTCTCTAAAGCATTCGACTCAGTTGACCATGACCATAATATCCTCCTAACCAAAATTAAAAATATTTCCTTATCATCTAGTGCCCTTAAGTGGTTCCAATCCTTTCTCACCGATCGCTCCCAGTATGTTGTAGTTCCTAATAACCCTCAATCAATGTCTCTACCTCTGTCCAAAGGCGTCCCACAAGGTTACTCTTTATTCCCCACCTTTTTTTTCTAGCTACATCAATGACCTCCCTTCCTCTATCATGCACTGTCAATATCACCTATATGCCATCCTGAAACTGCACAAGACATCAATAGAATATGCGCATGAGCAAATCTTAATAAGCTGACATTAAATACGGAGAAGACAAAAGCTATCCTGATCGGATCTCTCTCACTCCTCAAATACATTTCATTTCCACTGCTACCTTCCTATACCAGGCTATTAGAACTTGGCGACCCGCCTATATTCTACAGATCCTACAATTCAAACGCTCCTTTCAATCCTGTCCCACCAGTCCCGTGCGACCGACCTCTACCCTCCTCCTCACCGAACTGCAGCATTTGATTAATCCTTTTTAATTCAAGTTGTCTCCTCTGGAACTCTATACCCTCAGATATTCGAAAATCAATATCCTCTTTCAAATCTCTCCTCTTCTAACACCTACTCCATTCCCAATCCAATTGATCACGAAATGCACTTAAAAACCTAAGCTGTAAGAATATCAAAGTACACTCCGATACTTTGATTATTTTGTGATTCATTGATATTTTGTTTACTTAATTTAATTTCTCTGTTTATTTTATATTTATACATCTTTTTATATCTATTTATTATCTATAATTTTATTTTATTCCTAATCATCCTATAAATATTTAATTGTATTTTATGGACACACTAAAATATTAATATATATTCTGTATTTGTAACTTGTTCTAAAGGGACACTAGTCCCAGAATAATGAAATTATTTTCATTCATTCATTTATTCATGGATAGATCGAATCAACAAAGATACAATAGAGTTGCATGAAGACAACTGGAAAGAAATAGCCCAAGATAGGCAGCACTGGAGAAGGCTAGTTAAAGCAGCAAAAGATTTACAAGGTCTCTAAAGCCAACAGAGTAAAAAAAAAAATTGAGCAAAGTTTATTGTTGAAAAAATTCAGATAGTTTTGTTTATTTTAATTTTGAATTAGTGATTTACCTGAGTAAAAACAATAATGTATAGCTACCTAAACCTATTCTAGATCTAGATGAAAAGTGCCAAAATTTTGACATGATTAAAAAAAAAATACTTGACTCCAAGTAAAATTTCTGTCAGCGAATCTCAGATTAGTATTCAGTGATCCAAAAAACCAAAGATGTTCTGAAATTTAAGACAGTAACAAAATTTTTTCCCGTTTGTCCTTATCTGTAATAGTTTAACTGGACTATGTATGACAGATTAAATTTGTTGTTAAGCTTCGTAATAATCATTCTAATTCTCTGTATCAATGAATACATAATCATTTTACAAATGTGCTTTGTAAAATAAAACTAGTTTGTTTTATACGTTTAATGAAATAACAAATTAAATAACCATAACAAACACTGGTGGGAAATTGAATATCAAAGATATGATTTTAATTTTGACAGGAGGTAAACCAGAGATTTAATTCATTAACAGGGGAGTCTGAGACTGACTAGCATTCGGGAATCACCACTCTAGATGAAGAATTAAGTATAAAAATATTAGTTTTTTTTTTTTTTTTCCGGTTAGCACTACAGACCATGAAGATCTTTGGCTGCGGAATGTGGTCTCCTTACAGATGTGTGATACTTGCGGGAGCTCTGATAGCCTGGAGGGGGTCACCCAACCTCACGTTGCTACGAACCATGGTTTTCATGGTGCAGCAGCAGGCTACCTGTAGCTCCATAGCTGATCCCTTTGGGGCCAATCTGGCAATGTCCTTCCCACCGACTTTCTCGGGTTGAAGGACTGTGACAAATTGGTCTAGATCCATGGATTATGGCTGCTCGGAGTCAGCAGGCGCACGAGGACCTATATTTCTTTCCCCGAAACAGACCGTCCATGGACCGAACCTCTGGGGGGCTATTAACATCATGGTAAACCACATCCCGATTCCCGATTTAAGTAAACGGGGTAGGGTCATCAGTCCTACGCCCGGTCGGTGTTAGTTGCCTCCAGCAGGCTGACGGGCCTCACATACCCGGGGGGTGGGAGAGGGGGAGAGAGACTCGGGCAGCATGGCTTTTCCTGATGGAGGGTCAAATTGGGCGGTCACCCATCCAAGTACTAACCATGCTCGACGTTGCTTAACTTTGATTATCTATTGCAAGCGCCTTAGCCCGTACGGCTAAAAAATATTAGTTAAAGCCCCCAAAACCTTAAATAATAATATTCCAGTCATAATATAATAATATAAATAAAGTAAAAGGGTCTACCCACCAAACTTGTATTTTGTAAAAACAGTTAGTACAATAATAAACAACCCAAGTAAAAGGATTTTTAAATTACACTAAGAAGAAGATAAAGAAGTAAAATAGTTTTAAGTGTAGAACACTAAATTACTAGACTAAACAAAAAAAAACTGTTTGCTCTATCAAAAAATAAATTGATGAAATGAAAAATGAAAAAAAAAGTTGAAGTGGCTCTATCCATCCAACCGCCGTCTGTACTTCTTTGCTACCTTTCTATACCAAGTCATCAGAACTCAGCGGCCTTCCTATATTTTTCACAGCCTACAATTCAAATATTCCATTCAACCCCGTCTCACTAGATCTCGTACCTCCGACCTCTATCCACCTCCCCACCGAATTGCAGGGTTTGACAAATCCTTTATAATTCAAGCCGTATCCTTCTGGAATACCATCCCTCCCGATATCTGACATGTACAATCAGTTTCCTCATTTAAATCTCTCCTTTTTAACCACCTACTCCTTTCCCAACCTGATTGATCATGAAATATAGATAAGAGAACTTTTAAAGTTCACCCAGAAATGATTTTCTTTACTTATGCTATTTGCCACGTTTGTATTATACATATCAGTATGTTTTTAGGGTAATAGTTCTTTTTTTTGTTTTATTCTTTTTCCTAAATCTTAATCTTAATAAGAATTGTAAATAATTAATTTTATGAATGGCCACACAGGCATTTATTCTGTAACTATACTTTGTCCTAAAGGGACAACAGTCCCAGGATAATAAAAAAATAATTTCATTTCATTTTCATTTCATTTCAAAAATGGTATTAATACTATCCAACAGTTTACAAGATGTATCAGGAAAAAATATTAAACAAAACTAAATATAAATATAATCAAATGAATAATATAAGATCAAATTTATAAATTTAGAACAAGTTAATATAACTTTATACAAACATAAAGAGGCAGAATGGCTGAGTGGGCCAAAATGTATGCAAAACACATGTTGCCCAGCAATATGATAAACTGAATATTGTTAGTTTGAGTCCCAGTGCTTGGGGCCTTTTAACTCTGGCATTAATCTCCCACCCTCTTCCCTGACCAAGGAAAAACTCTGTATTGGTGAAAGTCGAAATAGGGGAGAAAAAAAAAACAAAAAAACTTATACAGATATTTTTTTTTCTTGACAATAGTAAATATAATTCAAGGATCAGCCAACATACAAATGAAATACGACACATGATAGTAGAAGTAATTCTCTGTCTCTGAATAGCAAAGTGCAGTTGCACTCTTTTCTATTTTCTTTCCGAAACTTTACTTTTCGAAGTTGACAGTAAAGAAAAATTATGATTTTTTTATTAATGTTTTTACCCACCTCAGAATAATTCTAAATTTGTTAATGCCACTGCTATATTAACAATTATTAACTGAGAGTAAAGTAAGCAGAAAAGAAAAAACATGAAATTGTAGTATTAAACAAAAAAAGATTTACCACATGTGTGAATATTCAATAAGTCCCTCTAACGCATGTTCAGGATTCGTAAACACATTTTTGGAAATTGTGAGCTTTCCTAATAACTGTGGGCAAAGTGTAGGCTGTCGAGGGATTCCTTTTTTGACTGGAAATTCTGTTGAAATATAACCTATTGGTTCCAGAACAATATTATCATTTTCGTCTTCTTGTAAAACATTACAGGAAGATTTATCGTTCAATTTACAATCAAGACATTTCCAATTGTTAATTTTAGATTGTACTTCTTCAATGTGCTTGTCTTGTGTGTACTTTAAGGAACGAATCTGTTGCCTGTAAACGAGAAGAAGGTATTAACTAACATTATTATAATGAAGTTTTAAGATTTTAAATGTATTATATCAAACAAACAAAATTATAATGAAAACAAGACATTGTAAAAATTTAATGGTCACACTTAATTGACAGGTGGGCCAATACCATATCGATCACACTGTACAAGTAACTAGGAGACCATACCCAGAAGTATCTGGGGTTAAAAAATCTCCAAACATTCGTATTAATAAATATAAATAACAGTGTGAACCAACTTATCCCTAACATTTTAGCCATCGTTATTTTGTTTTATTAGGCAGGGTCTGGGTGTACCACACTCCTGAAAGATTTAAAACATATGCTTTAAATATATTTTTATGTATATGCCTCAATGTTTAACATTGCTTACATTAAATGATTTTAATATGTATATATATATATATATATATACATAAAATAGTTAATATTGATCCATAACAAAAATCTTTCGAAATTGAGATATAATATAACAAGAGTTCTCAAAATAAGAGTACACAAGATGGTCCTGCAACCAGTCGTTATAGATGGAAACAAGTCTTGGACACAAACTCCACGAAGAAAAGCTATTGAACATATGGAAAAGAAAAATCCTTCACAAAATCTATGGCCCATCTAAAGAAGGAAATCATTGGTGAAGAAGACTAATGAAATGCTAGATACTGCTCCAGAAACTGATCATATTATATTCACCATAAAAAGGGGAAGAATAAGTTGGCTGGGTCAGGTGCAAAGAATGGAACATGGCAGGCTCCCGAAAATTAAGATGGAGGGATACCCTGGTGGAAGAAGAAAAAGAAGCAGAAGACTAAGTGTTTTCGGATGGAGAAGGGCAGCTGAAAATTGGTCAGTTTAAGAGAAGATAGTAGAGGAGGCCAAAGATCTGCAAGGACCATAGGGCCATCAAGGTGTTCATTATATATACAGTCAAAGTCATAGAAATTGCATCACAGAGTAAAAATTTTATTTTGCTTGCCAGATTGCTATTTGCAAGATATCTGGGTATTTCTTTCCCTGTTTTGAAACAATATTCTAAAAACAATCACACCATTAAACAGTCAAATCGTTTTGTTTTTCTACTCCCAGTTCCTTTCTTCCACTCCATAGTGCCTTTTTTTTTCGTTCAAAACTATGACTACTACTGTTGATTGGTGGTACCCCATCCTCGTTACTATTTCCCTTGAAAATTCCGTCACTTCATGTAATGTCACAATTTTAATATTTTCTAAAGAGAAAAGTTTTTTGAAACTGTCATAATTTCAGCTTTTATCCTGACATTAGTAAAAATTGAAGTGAGAAACATTGTTAAAGTTTTATGGTAACCACAATAAGTAAACAAAAACAAAAACATTTAATGGAATTGACGTTATCAACATAAGAATAAAAAGAAATAGGTGATGAAATAGGCAATTTCTATGACCACGACTGTATAAATAAATCAATAAAGAGATAGACAAATCCCGAATGGATCCTTCAAAGGTTACAGCCTTATCAATGAGAAATCCTTGTTAATGAAGAAGAGTCCAATTCAATTCATCATCAAATATCTTTCATAATCTACTTCTAAGGAACATCAATATTTTCCCATCAACATTGTTTTGGGTATTTTATAAAGTTATTGATTCGATCTAGACCCAACTATCAACCAGACCTAATATTTGTGACCTAACACCCAGGTTTATTATAGACTATAAACATGAAAACTAGTTGAATAAATAAAACAGATACAATACTAGCTCTGAATTACTACTCCAAGATGGCAGCTGGTTTCAAATTCACTTTGAGTGAAATCCTGAAAAAATTCGAGTGTATCTCAAAGTAGAAATAGACCACCAATCGCCAACTCTTCAAATCAGATTGTTCAAGTTAGGTTAAGTCAGCTTCAGCCTCCATCAAGTTCACTTTTTTTTATATATATATATAAATAACACCATGAAACAATTTACTGAAATGATGATTTAGCCCCAGGAATTAAATGATAACACTACTCCACATTGATATTGTATCTCACTTGAAAACAGTCTCATCCCATGTTTTTTGGTGTGAGAAATTCGAATTTCCACATAAAAATCATCAGTTAGCTCTAGTTTCAAAGACAAAGTTACTTTTTGAGTAATATGGGGAGATTTTCTGCTCCTGGGTTAGTAGGATTGATTTCTGTCTATGCTGTGAATCACAGAACCATTTGCTGACAGTTTTATACAGTGTATAGATTTCAAGTTACTCTTGACATGATTTTTCTTGCTCCAGGTACTCTTTCAACAATTTTGTCATGATAACTCGTCGTGGTAGTTTTGGGGAAGTTACAATGCCCAGGAAGTGTGTGAATGCTCCTGACAACTTTTGTTACATTTATGGGGAAGTAACCTTAGCAAGTCAAAAACATTCTATCACCCAGAAGACTAAGACAGCATACCACAAGTATTTTGGGATAAAGGTTGGTGACCAAGATAAACCGTGAACCCAGCACATCTGCTGCATCACATGTGGCGTAACCTAAGGAGAATGGTTGAACAATAAAGGTAGTTAAATGAGTTTTGCTGTTCCTATGGTGTGGAAGGAACCTACTAATCACACTGACAACTGCTACTTTTGCATGATCTTGAACTCTTCATCATGGAATGTCTCAAAAAAAGAAATCTGAAGTGAAGTATCATAACATTCCTTCTGTTATACAGCCAATACTACACGTGGACAAATTGCCTGTTCCAAGGCTTCTTGAACACTATGACTTGAATGAGGACGAGGACAACGAAGAGGAAAATCCCCTAGGAGGAGCCCCATCTGATTTTTCTTTCGAACAAGAACGAAAACCCCACTTGCTTACTGAAGCTGAGCTCAGTGACTTGATTCAGGACCTGGATCTGCTCGAATAGAAAGCAAAACTTTTGGGTTCAAGATTGAAGGAATTGAACTTCTTACAACCTGGTGTAAAGATTATAATGTACAGAAATTGTCAGAAAGACTTAATCCTCTTTTCCAAAAAGTATGAGAACCTTGTTGCCTGTTGTGAGTTCCCAGGTCTGATGACAGCATTACAGCAACTAATCACAACACTTCTGAATGAAGGCTGTTCATAGATTCATCAAAGCTATCCCTCAAGGCAGTTCTGTTGCACAATGGCAATTTACTTCCTCTATCCCTATTGGCCATACTGTCCACATGAAGGAAACTTACCAAAACATGAAAACCCTTTTAAAATCCATCAAATACCAGGACTACCAATGGCAAATCTGTGGGACCTGAAAGTGGTGGCAATTCTTCTAGGCATGCAACAGGAATATACTAAGTACTGTTGTTTCTTATGTCAGTGGGAAAGTCGGGGGCATCTCATTACATCAGGAAAGAATGGCCTCAAAGAGAAGTCCTGACCTCTAGACAAAAAAATGTTCTCTACAACCCCCTTGTGGGCCCTAAAAAAATCATTTTGCCTCCACTACATATAAAGTTAGGGCTCATGAAAAATGTTATCAAAGGAATGGACCAATCAGGAGAGGCATTCAAGTACTTGAGAGGAAAATTTCTTCGCTTAAGTGACGTTAAGGTTAAAGAGGGTGGATTTGTTGCTCCACAAATCTGTGAGCTTCTTAATGACGGAGAATTTTTTAATATTCTTCAGGGTAAAGAAAGAGCAGGGTAAAGCTGTAAATGCAGAAAGCATTTACAGCTTTAGTTAATGGTTTCTAGGGTAACAAATGAGAGGACGATTATGCTGTCATAGTCCAAACTCTCCTTGAGAAGTACAGAGATATCGGTTGTAACATGTCATTCAAGATTCACTTTCTTCACTCTCATTTGGACATCTTTTCCGAAAATTGTGGATCTGTAAGCGACAAACATGGTAAACGATTTCACCAAGATATTTCCTCATTGGAACGAAGATATCAAGGTCAGTAGGATACTTCAATGCTCGCAGACTACTGTTGGAAAGTTGTGAAGAATTTGCCAGAACATTAGTACAATAGCCAAGCAAATGAGAAACATTCTAAATAAACTCTACAAAAGCACTGTTCTTGCCAAAGAATTTTTATTTAATGTTTTGTGGATTGTAAAAGTATTTCACAAATAATAAAGCACTTTGAAAGGTCAAAAAATTATCATATAACTTCCAATAACTTAATTTTTTGTATTTGTTACTGGGTATACGTATCTGCAGAACGGTAGTTAATATAAGGATTCTGACAGAAAATTTAAGTTTCTCACACCAAAAGTATTCAAGAGAAACAGTTTTCATCAAAGGTAGTCACAAAAAAAAAGTGTGTAGGCCAGTATAATAATTAGATTAAAACACAGCCGCAATTGAAATTAAATTTATAATTTCAATGTATTTCTTCACATTCATTAACAATAAATACATTTTCCTCAACTTTATTTTCTGTGTATTTTAGACAAAAATGTGTCATTCAGACACATCTATCATTTAAATATGAACATGACCAATACTCGATTACTTTAGTCATTCCTCAGGATTCCACTTAAAGTGTGCCAAAAGGGTACTACCATACAAATGTTGCTCCACATTGACATGGACCAAGATCTCATGATTCATAATCACAATATAAAAAGGATTCCAAGAATGGCCAAGCATTAATCTGCTCATGGTGTAACCTCCTGTTTAGAACTCAATTTATGACTTCTACAAACTCACAACTTGTCCATACCAGTTGAAATCAGGGCTTTAATTAAATCATTGCCTTCGACTTTGTTTGCTACACTCGCTCAAAGAGTAATAAACAAACTCCCAATGGGTCTTTCTCAGTTGAGGTCAGGGCCTTACCAGATGATTCAGTTATTTCGATTAACTTTCAGACATTCTCTGAGTTCCATTCATAGTGATCATTAGAGCATGTGGGATTCATCAAAGTGGCACAAAAAAGTAGAGCAGTACTGCTGGATGTAATTTTAAAACCAGTTGTCATCTTGGAGTAGCTTTTCAGAAATAGATCCAATAAAACTTGTTGAAAAAAAAATACATAGACAGCAGAATGATGGCTCTCAACTTTAATATTAACAGATACCAACAATCAAAACCTAAAAATAATTCCTGTATCCAAATGAATTGATAATAGAGGATTAATTACAGTACTAAACAAATATTGTTATTAGCAAAACATTTTTTTTCTAGAAAGGGTAAATAAGGGAAAACCTTTTAGTTAATGAACTTCATACCTCTACTCTATTGGAATAAATTAATTTTATTTCAAAAATTCAAATAACATGAACTAAATAAAAAAAATATCAATGTTCAAATCATTGTTTTTCAAAACATTGAAAAGTTAATATCAAGTAAAATATATATAACAAGGGTCTTATAAATGTTCAATATTAAAACTGATTCATTTGAACCAAAAATACAGATAATAGCAAAAATACATTTTTAACAAACAGAGATCCAGAAATAAGGTAGGTAGAAACAAGACTAGGATGAAAAATATTCATTATGATTTTAAAAAAACAATAATAACCAATCAATAAAATTAAAATTGTTTAATAAAAGTAAACATTACTTCAGAATGTGGATATTTAAAATAGCGTATAGGTAAAATAGATGATCAATTTAAAGTAGAGAAATTGTAGCGCGAAACAAAAAATAAAATACCTTAAGTTAGAAATTTCACTTCTAGCAACCTTCAATTCATTTCTAAGCTTGTAAAATTCATTTTCTAAAGCATCTCTCTCCATATTTATGATTTGATTGCTACACTTTACAAATTAATCCAATAATAACATAATAATAGAAATTACTACTATAAAGTTAATGACTTTTGATAATGAGATACTTTAGAAATCATAATTCAAGCAACAAACCCATTCTATCACCTTTAAATTCAATCCGGTTGTACTACAAAACACCGAACAGATTCATTCATTGACGATTGTTCATCATTGTGTAGCAATTTATATCATAACTATTCTCAATTTTTCAGGGAGGTGTAGTATTCGTTTCATAAAACTTTTTTTTTTTAATTATTATTGAAATTTACAACTGTATTAAATGATAAATACAACAAGTAAATATGAAATAAGTAACATGACATGTATAACAGAGAGAGAAACTACCCATTGGAAGAACTCAAATTATATTTCTATATTAGAAGGTCCCAAAGCCATCTTCTTTTCTGACGCCTCGGAGGGTTATCAGGAATAGAAGAGGAAGCAAGGTTGGAAAAAGAGGGTTTGCATGGCTCAGAAGTTTATTATGGAAGGATAGGTATCTGGATTGATCTAAATCGGAAACAAATGGTACATAAAGGTCGTTATGGATGATTTTATTTGTGACAAAGTAAGGAGCATTGAGGATTTTACGAAGGATTTTTGAGGATTTTTTGATTGTATGGGTTGGGTACGAGAGGAATTTGATGGGTTGGTGGAGTCCCAAAGCTCGATCCCGTAAGTCCAAATAGCCCTTATTACAGTAATATATATGAGTCTTTTGTAAATAGTTGGACGTTTAGAGCGTTTGTCTATTAAGTACTGCAGTAATCGAAAACGTTGGGCATTTTCTAGTCGTTTCAGTCTAATATGGGGGTTCCAAGTGAGTCGTTTGTCCTGGTGAAGACCTAGATATCGGATTTGTTTAACAGGGATAAGTGGGCTATTGTTGAAGGATACAGTAGAACAGGAAGTCATAGGTTTACGAAGAAGAGTAAAAGTATATTCATAATTGGTAAATGGTTGACTGTCGTGGATAATGAAGAGAAGAATAGTTGGGGTGATCAGTCAAAAAAGAAGGCAAAAATAAATGATAATATTTATTTTTACATATGCCGACGTTTCGACCTGAAGTACAGGCCATCATCAGGGCTAAGAAAAGAACCAGATAACAAGGTATGAGAAATATAAAAATTACAGTAAAATGAAGTTGTTAAAATAATGACAATAGTAAGAACAAGAGACAAATAATAATAACAGGTACAAAGTGTGGAATGATGATCTTACTATTGCCATTATTCTAACAACTTTATTTTACTGTAATTTTTATATTACTCATACCTTGTTATTTGGTTATTTTCTTAGCCCTGATGATGGCCTGAACTTCAGGTCGAAACGTCGGCATATGTAAAAATAAATATTATCATTTATTTTTGCCTTCTTTTTTGACTGACCACCCCAACTATTCTTCTCTTCAAGAGTAAAGTTAATTTGATGGGATTTATTATAGCCCTCCAGTTTTGACACCATTTTTCAAGACTTGTTATCTGTGATTGAAGAGTATGGGATGCAATAGATAGATCGTTATTAACTGATACGATACACGTGTCATCTGCATAGATGGTGATAATAGCATTGGATTAGTTTGGGATGTCAGCTGTATAAACTGTGTAAAGGATAGAACCTAGGATACTACCTTGAGGAATACCGGCAAACTGAGTAAAAAGAGATGAATAAGCATTGTTATGATTTACTTTGAAGTAGCTGTCAGTAAGGTAGGAACGAATAATAAGGAAGTATGTAACTGGTAGGAATTTACGGAGTTTGGACATCAATCCCGGATGCCAGACTCTATCAAACGCCTGTGCAACATCAAGAAAGACTCTCGTGCAGTACATTCCGCGCTCCAATACAGAGGAGACTACATCTACCACACGATGGTATTGGTGAATAGTGGATTGGGATGTGCGGAATCCAAATTGGTGATCTGGGATAATGTGTTTAGAGTCTAGGATGGGATACAGGCGTTTTAAGATGATTTTTCCAGGATTTTGCAAATAATGGGTAAAAGAGAGATAGGACGGTAAGAGGATAGGTGTTCTGGCGGCTTTATGGGTTTAGGTATCATTTTGACAATGGATAGTTTCCAAGAGTCAGGAAAATATGTGATTCGGAGTACAGCATTATATATGTATATGTGAGGAATAGTATGACTTTTTTAGGAAGCAGTTTTAGCATCTGGGATGTGATTGGGTAATGGCCAGGAGCTTTGCGGGAAAGTAATCTATGAATGATATTGGATATTTCTGAAGGATGAAATGCTTTAGGTGGATGAGTCAATTGGAGTGGGATATCCAAATCTGCTTCAATAAACTCGAGGTAGGTTAGATTAAGGATATCTGGATGTGGATTAAATATTTTGAAGAGGTGCTGAGCAAATATTTGAGATTTTTCTTCGTCAGATCTGGACCAGGTTTGGGTTTCAGTAATAAGTGGGCGGTTAAAATCTTTGAATTTAAGGAGCTTTTTTAAGTGGTCAACCATAGTGATTTGTCAGTAGTAAGTTTTCTGTAATGTTAAGCAAATTTTGAACTTTACTCTCTTCAATGACGCCATCTTTTAACAATTTTCCTCTCTCATTTTCAATATATTTCGTATCAGGAACTGCATGTCTACGAGATTTTATTGATATAAGTTTACAGTTAGGAGGTACATTACAGAACAGTTTTTCAGACTCGACATTAACAACTGCAACACTATAAATATTAAGATTAGCTTCAGTTCCACCGAATTTGACCTGAATTGAAGAATGTCTTTTTAAGCCATAGTAATATCCTCGACTTTAAAGGTGATCACAGTAATATTTAGCTTAGAGACAGTGGACTGGTTTATGAAAGTACCGGTACTCTCAGTATCTATCAAATCATGTACATTGAAGCCATTAATCTTTACTATAATGACTGCTTTATTTGAAATTTGAAGATAAAAAGACGCCAAATAGTTAGAGTGTACCTGTCAATTATCTCCCCGGGCTCCTGGCGTCGAGTTTTGAGTTTATGTCGGGCGTAGATTTTATTTATGGGTTTAATATAAAGACTTTAAAATAGTTATTGCATCATTATAAGCTCCACATAATCATAAACAGAAGTAGAAATAAAGTTAATTAATACTCTATCGCACCAAGGATGCCCCCATCCACGTTCGATGGCGCAAGAACCTACTTGCCCCCTCCCCCCAACACCTCCCGATATATTTTATTGCTCACCTTTTCTTAAAAACAGAATGAGCTAAGGTAGAGTTAGAAAAGTCGTAGATCATGTACAATTACACTTCCTGCGGTCTGCTCTATGTTTCCCTCAAGTCACTTAGTCTGAAAATGCAGAACCCCGTCGAAATATAGCCCATTCAAAAATTTAAAAAAACATCGAAATATGTCCAATAAAAAATGTTAATGGCGCCATGAAACTCCCATCTGAGTACCCCTGCATCGCACTCATAAGCATAAACAGTTTTTATTTTTTTTATTTTATTGAGAAATATTACAATCTGTCACAGTTAAGGACACTTATAATAGAGTTCAGAGAGTACATTCATACCGTATATACAAAAATATAAATAAATAAAGTAATAACAAAAGAAAAGAAAAAAGAACAAAAGAAAAAAAATATATATATACACATAAGTAAGTAAAAATAGAAATAAAAGTAAAACAAACATCTAGGTATAAACATACCTATATACACTATTTACAATTAGCCAGGTGATCTCCGAACCAATCTTGTCCCCCCACATGTGGTGGGAAAAACGAAGCTTAGGAGACCCCCACGCTTCTCCATCAGCCACTTCACTGGTATTTAAAACCAGCGGAGAATGAGTAAGAGCGCTACAGCCAAAGACACTTATGACTTGAGTGGAGAATCTGGCCATTGCTAGAACTCCAAAATATCCATATTTACAAAAGATCTCGTGGCCACTGCCGCTTTAACCTACGAAGGGGATTGTTGAGATGGGTGGTGCTTGATAGGGATTGTACAACGGGATTTGGGTGATGAGAAAGGTTTTGGTGAAATTTGGCTGGGATAAGATAAAAAATAAATGGGATATTAAGGTCATTATGCAGGGTTTTATTGGTTGCATAGAAGGGAACATCGACTATTGTACGGAGGACTTTAGATTGAAAGGATTGAATGCGTTTGATGTTAGAAAATTTAGCTGTTCTTCATAGTTCTAGTCCGTAAGTCCAGATGGGTTTCAGTATTGTCTTGTCAGATCAGTAATTTGTTTTCATCAGAAAATTTAGATTTTCTATTCAGTAGTCTATATAGCTGGCCATATCGTCTGTTAAGTTCCTGTCTTTTAAGTCTAGTATGTGGATTCCATGTTAGTCGTCTGTCTAAGAGAAAGCCAAGATACCGGACTGTATCTGAGAAAGGAAGCTGAACGGAGTTAAAATAAACTGGTGGGCAGGTATTACGCCGAAGGGTGAAGGTAATGTGTTTACATTTAGATTCGTTTACCTTGATGCGCCATTTCTTAAACCAGTGTTCAATCAGGAAGAGGTGTCTTTGTAAGTTTGCGGACGCTGTTCCAGGATCTGAGTTGGAAGAAAGGATAGCAGTGTCATCAGCGAAAGTTGCCAGGAGGGTATCGGGATGGACAGGAATATCAGCGGTAAAGAGAATGTAAAGGATGGGGCCCAAGACGCTGCATCGAGGAACGCCAGCCTCAATTGAGTAACAGTCGGAGAATTCGGCACCACAGCTAACTCGAAAGGAGCGGTCGGAAAGATAGGATCGGAGTACTAGGTATAGGGTCTGTGGTAGGTGGATTTTAAGTTTGAAGAGCAATCCGGCGTGCCATACCGGGTCAAAAGCTTGCGCTATGTCCGGGTATGGCACGGGTGTGGAGGAATGCACTCGAGCAATACTGCTTACTACGCTACTTTCTAGGGTTGAGGATATATGGTCAACAACTCGGAGTCCTTATTGGACAGTGGAATGTTGGGAACGAAACCCGAATTGATGAGTAGGAAGATTACAGGATTCGATTATAGGTAGGATTCGTTTTAGTAGGATCTTTTCAAAAAATTTTGAGAGGAATGGGAGTAGGCTAATTGGTCTATAGGATGCTGTATTGTTGGAAGGTTTGCCTGGTTTCAAGAAGAGGACGGTGGTGGAATGTTTCCATAAAAGAGGGAAGTGGGTAGTTCGTAGGATGCAATTGTATATATATGTGAGAAGTATGATGGCTTTGGATGGAAGTTGTCAAAGGATCTGTGGAGTTAGAAGGTTATATCCAGGAGATTTGAGAGGAGTGATTTTCCGTAAAAGGTATTTGACCTCAGAGGGATTAACAGCTTTAGGTGGTAAGGAGAGTGGGATAGGTGTTCTTCTACTTTTACTGTGTGGCTGGGATAGGATTCCGGATGAGGAGTGAAAGTACAGGAAAGGTGTTTGGCAGACTCCTCGGCTTTACCTTCATCAGATGCTGCCCAGGAGCCATCACCTCTTCGAAGGGGGAGGGAAATATGATGGGATTTGAGGATTTTTCTGGTGATATTCCAAAGGGAATTATTATGAGCAGAAAGTGTGGTGAGGTAGGAGTTGAATGATTGGGATATGAAGGTGGCTAATTCTTGTTTTAATTTTTTACAGTGATAATTGTAGGAGTGTCGGTAATGTGGGATGTCTGGTACGTTGCCATAATAATCTGGCACGGCGTTTTATGTGGATTAGGTCAAGAAGGTGTTGAGGTAAATTATGTTTCTTAAGGATTTTTGGGGAGTGATAAGGGGAAGAAGCAGTCCAGACTGCTTCTTGAAATTTGGTAGTGAAGGAATGTACTGCATTGTCCAGGTCTTCAGGAGTTTTCAGCGTTACTCTGAGGTCAATTTTATCGGAGAAGATTTGATGAAAGAGTTTCCAGTTAACTGGGCCTCTGCTGAAGGACGGTGGAGAGGGTTTAGGAATAGGAGCTAGTGATACTTTAAGTATTAATGGGCTGTGGTCTGAGGAAAGCTCGTCAAGACGGGTAACGTAATGGTTGAGAGCACCTAAACCATTACGGATAAAGAAATCGAGGATATCGGGATTACGGTTAGGATCAGTGGGCCAGTAGGTAGGGGAGTTGGGTGGAAGAAGGGTAAAATTTTGGGAATTGAATACAGACAGAAATGTTCGACCACGAGAATTCGTGGTTCTTGATCTCCATTGTTGCACTCAAAATGAAATGATGTTCTAAGGAAATGAGGAAGGAACTAAATTGGGTATTGGAGATGGATTGGTTTGGAGGGCAATACGCTGATGCAACGGTAATAGGAAAGGAAAAGGTTTTGATTACGACTGCGGTGGATTGTAGGAAATCGTGAGTAGGCAATGGGAGAGGGATTGGTGCGCAATGACTGCAGTACCGGCATGTGCTCTACCGTCAGGATGGTCGGTACGGTAAGTTATGTATTGTGGTATTTTTAGGAGCTGTTTTTTGGTAAGTCGAGTTTCCGTTATTAGGGCTACATCTACGTTCTTGTCTTGCTGTAAGGCTGTTAGTTCGTGTATGTGATTTCTAACACCATTCGCATTCCAAATGAGAATGGATATGGGTTTGATGGAAGTCATTAAAGGATTTTTTAAAGGAGGGATGAGGTGAGGTTTGAGAGGAGAATTTATGTTCCAGTTTGCATCAATGGAATCTGGAGTATAAGAATGAATGGTGAGCTAAAAAGACTCTACAATAGCTCAGATATCGTAAAGGTAATTAAAGTAGGCCGGCTTCGATGGGCAGTTCATTTAATTAGAATGACCCACGATGAGATTCCTAGGATGGTCCTAGATGAAAGGATTTATGGGACAAGAAGAATGGGAAGACCTCGGCTCCCATGGATCGATGGAGTGGCAGCGGATGCCATGTCCATCTTGGGAATTCGCAATTGGAGAGCAGCGACAACTAATAGAGAAGACTGGCCGACCAAACTGCGGGAGACCTAGACTTTACAGGAGTTGTAGCGCCACGGTTGATGTTGATGATTTTTGTTATTCTGCATTTCCTACAACATATTTTACCTACCTACATTTAATTCATGGACATTCATTACCTCTTTGGTAATCGTTCTTATTGAAAGGTTACGATTGTTACTTCCATTTTAGCGGGTTTGTACCCTTAGTGTTCAAAGTTGCAATCATTTATTTTCGACAGCCTATATGAATAATCCTGGAATATCGAATCGGCTCCGTAAAGAAATGGAGCGATTCCTGACTGAGCCACCTTCAGGAATTTCCTGCTGCATTAGAGACAGCAACATTTCAACATTAGATGCCAGTTGGTACCTTTAATCTTAGCCTAATAATATGACATCTAATTATAATTTTTAATAATTTTACATTTCAGATATTATTGGCCCCCCTGGTTCACCATATGAAGGTGGAGTATTTCATCTGGAAGTTCAACTTCCCAGAGAGTAAGTTTGTAGTTATTTGGAATTTATGTTTATGTATACAATTAAATTTTTGGTTGTAATTTTCCTAGTGTTTTATTATTTAAAATTGGTTCACTGTTTTAGATGTTGTTCTTAAAACGTCATTTCCTGTAAAGAAAGTGGTTTCTATTTTAAAAACCATTTTGGTTTGAACTACAGTGGGATCTCAGTAATCCGAACTAATTACTAAGGGTATTTTTCAAATGACAAAATATGTTTTAAGAAAACTACATAAAATAATAGATTAAACTCATACAATATTTTAAAGAACTGGTTATCATTGTTTTTTTTGATTTTAGAAAGAAAATTATCACTGCTTCGTCTTTTAGTTGCCACCATTAAATTTGTTTTTGTTACATATTGTTTTCTATTGTCTGTAAAATTTAACGATTGAATAAAGAGCCTGTAGCCAGGAGTGCGTGCATGTTTCGTTATATTAATATATATGTATGTGTTTGATTTGGTTGACTGGTGGATCATGATCACATCAATCACATTGTAATTTTTTTTTCTGTTGCCATCACAGAATATGTAGATCTTTTGCCGTCTTAAGAAGCCTGCTATATCTCTGCCTGTCTTGGGCATTTCTTTCCATTTGTCTGCACGGAGCTCTGTTGCATCTTTATTGATTCAATCTATCCATCTGCTTTTTGGTCTTCCAGATGGATTACTACGAGTATATTTCTGCCCTTCATTCGTTGAGGTTATTGTGGAGCCGAGGTATTTGAATTTTTCTACTCTCGGTAATGATTTTCCTTCTACGCATATCCTGTTACTGGGGTAGAATTTTCGGCTTATTATTATATATTTTGTTTTGTCTTCATTTTCCTTGTAGGCCAATTTGCTCTACCTCTCTTATCAGTGTTGTGAGTTTCTCAATATCTTCTTGATCACTTTTAGGGACAGCCAGCCATATCATATGCGTATCCAAGAATTTTATGATTCATTCTGATGTGGACCCCTCCATTTTCCTGTGATGTTGCTCTTATTACATTCTCCAGGACTAAGTTGAACAACATGGGTGATAGTACATCTCCCTGCCCTAAGCCCATTCAAACTTTGAAGACTTCAGATACTTCTCCTTGTATTAGGACTGTATATTTCGGATCATTTGTACAATCCTTTGTAATCTCACCAACTTACCGGGAATTCCCAATTCAGTCATGATTTTCCAAAGACAGCTTCTGTCCACAGAATCATAGGCTGCTTTGAAATCGACAAATAGGGTGTAAACATCCTGAGCTACTTTCCATCGTTTTTCAAGTACTTGTTTTACGATGAAGATCTGGTCAAGCGTGCTGCTCCCTTTTCTGAATCTAGCTTGGTGGTCCCCTATTATATTCTCGTGATACGGATATATCCGGTTTAGTAGGATATTGATCATTATCTTGTAGGCAACCGGAAGGAATGCTATGCCTCTTTAATTACCATACTCATACATGGAGCCTTTCCTTAGGATAGGACAGATTAGGCCCGTATTCCAAGCCTTAGTTATTCTTTCCTCTCCCATATTTTCTGGATTAGTTGCAGTAGTTTGATGCTAGGTTGTTTATCCCTGGGGCCTTTCGATAGCTATTTCTACATCCAGTATAGCTATTTTTTCTTCTGGGTCAAGGTCCTCAATGTGGTCCATGGCTTCTTCGTTCGTTGGGTGACTTCCCCTTGATTGAGAAATTCCTGAAAATGTTCTTTCCAGATGTTCAATGTACTTTCTTTAGATGCCGTCAGAATGCCATCTTTTCCACGCATTTGCGTATTTCTCGCTTTATATCCTACCCTTTCTTTCCTAATGTCTGCGTAGAGTTTGTGTAATCTCCAGTCTGCCAGTTGTCCTCAATGATTTGCAATCTTTCTTCTAGGAATTCCCTTTTTGCCGATCTTATAGTTTTCTTTGCCTTTTTTTTGGAAACTGTGTACTTGTCCTGAGCAACTTGATCAGTTGTAGTTAGGCAGAAGACTTCCATTTTTCTTCTTTCCTCTATTGCCTTTACAGTTTAATTGACATCTATATTTATTATGTCTGTGTGATCAACACTATTTGTATGGGGGATTCTCCGAAAACAAATAATTTTTTTTTTTTCAGCTCCTAGGGTTCATTGGAAGGAATGCTGGGACATGTGTCTAATATTTTTCCATGTAGTATCGTCCAAAAAAAATTAGTTGAAATTGGTGACTCACTGACTGTAGCCTCCCCTTTAAATAATATAATTCTCTCAAATTTGATATTTCTATTTTTTATTGTTCTTAAACAAACTTTAATATATGTTGTAACAAGTAAGTGGTAAAAAAAAAAATATTGTAAAAATATCAAATACATGGGGAGAGGAGAGGACATGTCAGATGAAATAATAATTTTTACAAAATTTACAAGAAAGGCCTAGCTTGTGTAGGGAAACGTATCTTTTGTTTAGTGTGACATTCAAGGTTACAAGTAACTGTGTCAGTACAAGGGTGTTAAAGTAGCTTTTTGGCTTTCCTATTATTATTTTTAAAATCTGATTCTTACTTTTATTATATTGTATTAGTTCATAAACATATTGCCGTTATATATTTTTGACATTTAATATTGGAAGTTTTTATTTCAGGTATCCTTTTCAACCACCGAGAGTTGTTTTTATAACTCCAATTTATCACCCAAACATTGATGAAGGTGGTAGAATATGTCTGGATCTCTTAAAACTACCCCCCTCTGGATCTTGGAGATGCACTACTACTATCGCAAATGTGTTAATTGCTGTTCAGTGTCTTTTGGCATCACCCAACCCATCAGATCCTCTAAACCCAGAAATAGTAAGAATAACATGTGAACATTTTAATAAAATGGTTATTTATTATTTAAAACTCACTATAAAATCAACAAAAACTTTTATGAGATGATTACTTTTGTTATGTTTTTTTCTAGTTAGAAGTTAATGGTTACATGTTAATAATGTAATTGAATTAAATATATGTGTTTTAAACCTATTTTTTTTTCATAATCATAAAGGAATAAAGAAGCCTAAGAAGTGAGGTCAAATCATTTCTTCTTTGACAATATCTCATTTGAATTCCAATATTTAAAACAAAAGCAGAAGATTACAGATATTTTGCTTGTAGTGTAATCAAGCTGTAGTTACTGATCACAATAATCTAATTGTGTGTGTATTTAAAATTTAATGTTGTCGAACAATTATTTTTATTTATAAAGTAGAATGGGCTGTGGTGGTCGAGAGAGTTATAGCACCTCCAAAAATACACTTAACATGTAGAGGCGTTTTGTTTAGATTTTTATCGAAACCAAAAAGTCATAAGTTCCAATCCCGTTCCCGGGAACAAAAAAACAAAAACAAATCATAATTAATAATAAATATAAAAATTAAAAAAATAAAAATTGCAAGTGCTACCTGAATACTCCAGCCACTATGGCACGGGTTCGATTCCCGTATGGGGACGGTAACGTCCTCATCCAGAGATTCACAGGGAGGTGAGTGACCCCTGTGTCTTACACTATAGCTCCTGGTCCTCCAGGTTGGGGGTTGAGCAACAAGATTAGGGCTAATAACCCTTTCCTGGAAAAAATAACTTATTATGAAACCTAAACTAGGCCTCGGAAAATTGGACTGTCTAAATATGGTCTCGATCTCAGCTTTTGAATCACAGACTATTCAGTGGATCTTGGAACGTACTTAGTTTATACAGACCAGGAGCCACAAAAATGGTAGCCAAGAAACTAAAAAGGTATAACATACCGATAACAGCCATTCAAGAGGTAAGGTGGCCATATGGTGGCGAAACCATTATCGTCTGCCATATATTCTACTCTGGGAGAAATAATAAAAATGCTACCTCTGTTTTATGGAAAAATACTTTCATACTTGCTATCTTCTGTGTCTCTGTCTTACAATCTAGTATATAAGATGCCCATTTTAGCTTAATTATTATTGAGCTAATCTGGCAGAATTACTAAGTAATGCTTACTAAGTAAGCATGTTTTGTGGGTGAGAACCCCACGATACTCCAGCTAAAGATTTTAGTATGTTTAAGTTTTGCAGCGACTGTGTGTGAATATTTTTTATATGCGTTTTGAAATTTAATTTAGTGTCTAATGTTACGCCTAAAAACTTCAAGTGTTCTCCGCTTTTAACTGTGTATTTTTCATTTGAAATCTCAAAATCTTTGAAGTTAATTGTTCTTTTTCTAGTAAAAGGAGTAATGCTGCATTTGTTAGGATTAATTTTTAGGTCTATTATTGAAAATGCTTGTGTTAGGTTGTCCAATGCTGAGCTGATTATGTCTTTCCCTTCTTCTGCAGATTTCGCTACAGTATAAATTAAAAAGTCATCTGCAAACTGAATGATTTTACACTTGTCAATTGTATTGTTGGTGATATGTTCTGTGTAAAGATTGAAGAGGGTTGGACTCAAAGTATCTCCTTGAGGGAGACCACTGTAGGTTTCATAAGATACTCGACCTTCCCAAGTGTCCAGAAAATATGTTCGATGAGTTAAGTAATTTATTATCCAGTGAGTTAGTTTCGTAGGGATGTGCAGATTTTTTAATTTAGATAGCAAGATTTGTATTTTTACATGGTCATATGCTTTATCAATATCAATGGTTAATGCCACAAGGATCTTTCTTTCTCTGAAAGCTTTGTAGATATCATTGATTAGAATCAAGATTGCATCAGTGGTTGACCTGTTTTTCCTAAAACCAAAACAGAGAGGACTCAAGATATTTGTTGATTCTATAAACCATTCTAATCTCGTTTTGACAATTTTGTTGAAAACTATTGCTAAGCATGAGATGAGAGCAATAGGGCGGTATGAAGTGATCTGAAGTGCATCTTTACCAGGCTTTAATATTGGGAATATGAGTATATTTCGCCAGTCCGGAGGAACCTTGGCATCCTCCCAAATTTGATTATAAGCAGAAAGCAATCTCTGTTTCATCGAAGCCGGTAAGAGTTTGATCATTTGGTAATTTATTTCATCCACACCGGGGGCGGATCCAAATTTCCCTTTCAATGCTGCTTCCAGCTCTGTTAATTGGAAGGGTGAATCTAAATGGTGGACAATATGTACATTAGAACCGCTAAGCAATGGTTGTCTGGGCACAAAGATGTTCGACAATTGTTCGAGAAAGCCTATTGCATGCGTTCGGTTACTTAACACCATATTTTGCATGTAAATTCGCTTACCACGTAAGGTTTTAATTTTGTTCCACATAGAGCCGGTTTGTTTTGGGTTGATGCTTTCGATGTAGTTTCTCCAAGTCTCGCTTTTGGCCTTTTTAATAAGTGATTTAGTCTTATTTATTTTCGTTCTCATGATTTTGTAGTTTTCTATTGTCATATTCTTTAAGTATTCTTTTATTGCTATCTTCTTTTCCCCATACGACTTGCGAATGTCTTCATTCCACCAGCACTTCGGGATAAATTTTGGACGGTATTCCGAACACTTCCGAGGAATAGCTGATTCTCCTGCTTGGTTAATAATGTTAGTCAAGTCTGATATATTGTATTTTATATTAGGTTTCTCCATTTCCAGGAGGTAATCTGTAAATATTTTTTCATTTAATCTTTTGAAATTTCTTTTAGAATTGAATTTGTGTTGCCTCTTGATTCTGCAGTTGTTTACTTCGATTATTATTTGTAAGTGGTCACTCCCTAGCGTTTCTGGACTTACAACCCAGGTGAGGTTATGATAGAGATCGGCTGTAACAAATGTTAGATCTATAACGGAAGGTCTTGATAGAGAGTTACCTAATCTAGTGATTATTCCTGTTTCATTTAATAGGATTAGCGGACTGTTTTGTAAAGCCAGAATTAAGTCATCTCCTCTGGGAGTATCATATTCTTGAGCACCAAAAAATGAGGAGTGCGTGTTAAAATCTCCTCCCAAGAGCACACTGCAATTTGGAAAATTGACGTGCAGGTCAAAAAGATTTTCAAGGTTTCGAAGTGATGGCCGCCTTCTGTTGTCTGGTGGGATATATATTGAAACTATGATGATGGAAGGTATTGTGTTAAGAAGTTATACCCCTACTGCCTCAATTGTTCCCAGATTTGGTAAGTCTATGATTTCATAAAGTAAAGAAGTATGGAGAAAGATGCCCACTCCTCCGTACCTGTCTCGTCTATTTCTTTTTACTATGTTGTAATTCTGTGCACGGTAAGTCCGTTTATTATCAAACCATGTTTCCTGTAATAGAGCTATATGGATGTTGTTTATGTTAAGAAAATTAATAATTTCTGAGAATTTATTATTTATACTTCGACAATTATGTTGAAGAATTTTTATGTTTTTATCTATCATATTAATTCTACTGTTTGACATTATAAGGAGTTGAGTTAAGAGATAGCAGGCCGTCTTTTTTTTTATTATTTGTCGAGCTATTGAAATCATTGCAGGAATGAGTATCGCAGAAACAATATCACGCTGTATATTGTACACGGGCTTGAGTGAAATCGTGTATTTCTGTACGGTGGGAGTATTCATGTCGAAATGATGGGAAAAAACCAACTAAAAAAATAAAGTAAATATGAATTAATGAGAAGAAAACATAATTTTTAGGTTTAATAGTGTTCCACCAACACGTCTTTGTCGTCTCGTGTGATAACCAGAAGGCAGGACGTGTCAGTCTGAAGATATTAACATAATTTACAAATATAGCATTTTTAAAATCTTGTAAAATTATCATTGAGTTCAATGTAAATTGTATCACCTGTAGTGATAGGAAAAAACTGAAGTATTGATATACATGTTTAACAACCATGATTGGAATATAATTGTGTAAATATTTATATTTATTTGTTAGGTTGTAGATAAAATAAGCTGGATTATCCAAGGGGCTTGGTTTGGTGCTTATTCAACAGACATGTCAGCAGTTGTTTGTAACTCTGTAATTGATTTTATTATCGAATTGTTTTCCTGGACGAAATTGTAAAAAGTTTGTCCTATTATATTCAATGTTTCCTGTTCATTGTCAATTGTTTTAATTTTATTTATTAATGAATTTAACATATTAATATATTTAGAGTCAGCGCTAACTCGATGGGGGTTATCTGTGATTAGAGGAGAGGTTATTGTTGGTGTTTTACGTGGAGGTTCCACAGAGTTCGTGTTTTGAAAATCTATTGGGTTGTCGTTCAGCCTCTGACGTTTCAAATTGTCTGGATTGTATTTTAAAAATTGTTTTTTTCCTGGGTTTCTTGTAATGGCAGTATTATAATGGTAAAAATTATTTTCGGCAGAATCATTATTTAACGATAATTGAGGAAAATCTAGTGCGGAAAATTTATTGTAAATGGAAACCGGAAATAAATTATTCGCTTCCTTGTAGCTAAGCGGTTTAACGGCCATAGCCTCCTTTATTTTCCTTTGTCGAATTGCTTCTGGGCATTCCTTATCTGTTGGAAGGTGAGCGTTTTTGCAATGTATGCATTTGATCGCGTTCACACAGGCCTCTGCGGTATGTTCATTAGAGCCACATTTCATACATCTTCCTTTTCCTCTGCATTTTTCTTTGGTGTGACCATATCTTAAACATTGTTCACAAAGGAGGGGCTTAAAAATATATGGGTAAACTTTTCTTGGGGCTAAATTAAGGGCAATGCTGTCAGGGAGTCGCTGAGCGTGAAAAACAATTTGGATGGTGCCCGTAGCTATAGTAGTTACAGTACCGTCGGAATTTTTAATTTTTCTATTGAAACGGCGAATTTTGACTATTTTTTCGGTTGATTGAATTTCACTCAGAATTTCTTCTTCAGATAGAGATGGGTGTACGTCTCTAATTATTCCGTATTTTAAAACGTATGAGTTCGGTATAAATGATTTTAGTTTATTAGATTCAAGAAATTGATTTTCTAAAAATCGGTTGGCATATTCATAAGTTTTAAAAATAACTTCAATTTGTTGTTTATTTTTCTTTTTAATAGAAAAAACGTGAGAGTTATTTAAGCCTAGAGTTTTTCCAATTTTCATATCATGAAAGCATGCTATGTTTTCATCAGTCGATTTTTCAACTAAAACAATGAAGGGGCCTTTAAAGTTCTGCAAGTATTTATGTTTATTTTTTCCATTATGTACTACCGGTGAGTTTAATGGTTTATCAGGGGGCTCAGTTCCCACGCTACTTTCCCCCATGATCACAAATAGGTGTGATATTAGTTGATAATTTTAAGTAATATGAAAATAATATAAATTAAAGAGAAAATAAAATAGATAAATCTGGCCTGAATGTAGTTAACCGCAGGCTTCTGAGAAGTTGGGCCTGTCCACACCGGCCTATTATCCTCGCACTAAAAGGATACCGCCACTTCAAACAGATAAACCGCGATGTTAACACTACCACTGTTCGAGGAAAACTGTTGAGGAAAACTGTCCATACTATCTTTTACTTATATTGTATTATATGATAAAGTTTAATTGGCTCTGAATACCTTTAATCATTTTTATCTATCTGCTGGAATTATGTTTTTCTTGTATATCTGTATTAATAGCAGTTTACAGGTTTGAGTAGAATAATGATTGAGATAATAATGACAGATGACGATAGATTTTTATATCAAGCATGTGTATTCAGTGCTTATTATTATTGCCTTATATTTAATATTTTTGTTTTCTTTAATAATAGGCGTTTGATGATAAAAAAGTACTTGTATTATAATCAAGTATGATATTTTCAGGCGGCTCTGATGCAGTCTGATATAAAACAGTTTGAGAAAACTGCCAAGGAACATACATTAAAATTTTGTAAAGTTGGAAGTTTGTCGGTGAGTTGATATTAAAATTTTATTGCAAATCATACATTTTAATTGTGACTTGTCAAATATCAATCTAGACCTTTTGATTTTCCTACTAATATGAATTATAAATTTAATTGTAAACATGCTAAAAGTTTCATTTATAATATTCTTCTATGGCTGTTTGTATTTACTGATATTTCAGAGTTGAAGTCTTTCTAATTATTCCAATCTTATAATTAACCCCCAATTCTTAATTTCTTTCCATACTATCTTTTTCAAGATAAATATTTGTTTCAAAAATCACTAAAAAATCCATATCCTCTTTTCAATAGTTTTGAAGATTTAATAATGCCTTCTAATACAGCTTGTGTCCTATCCCATGTTTCACCTGTTTGACTTGGATTGTCATAATAGTGATTCATCAAATTATTGCTTATTTATCTTTTGCTAAGCAACTGAACTTGAGATAAAATAAAAAAAAGTTGATGATTTTCTTTATAAGTTATTTTGTATGTTTAAACTCTTTGATCCAATAACTTCCTTTACTTCCATAAAAAAAAATAATTCTTTTTACTCTCGTCCTCTCCTTACCTTTCATTAATTGAATGCCAGTTCATAACCAATTGAACTCTTTACCCATTCATATAAAACTTCTTTCTTTTGAAAATCTTCACTCAGTTTCCTTCAAAAACAATTATTTGTTTCCTTTCTAAATTCATATCATTCTATTTAACTATAAATACTAAGGTATAAACAAAGTCTGTCTTCTCTTTTAATCCTCAAATATATTTTACTTTGGTATATATTTTTTCTGATTAAATGTCTTTTATTCCATATATATTAGATATCAGCTTAATGAAATGTCAAAAATACTTTTATGAACTTAATGGAATTGTGATGAGGGTTTTGAAATTTTTTTTTTTTTATTATTATTTATTATGATATTTACAACTGTAATACATCTAGTAAATTCGTACAATGGATATAATGAAATGAAACATATTGAGAAACTACCCACTGGTAGCACTCTAATATTATGTCTACATTAGGAGATCATGGGGCCATCTTCTTTTCAGAGGCCTAGGAGGGTTATCAGGAATTGAAGATTAAGGAAGGTTATATATCTGGATTGGGCGAAATCTGAAACATAAGGAACATTAAGGTCATTATGGATGATTTTATTTGTAACAAAGTAAGGGGCATTAAGGATTTTGGATTGTAAGGATTGGATACGAGAGGAAGTTGATGGTTTGATGGAGCCCCATAGCTCAACTCCGTAAGTCCAAATAGACCTAGTCATGTATATGAGTCTTTTGTAATTAAATGGAAGGTAAGAGCATTTGTCAAGTAAGGAAACGTCGAGCGGTTTCTTGTTGTTTCAGTCTGTTATGAGGATTCCAAGTTAGACGTTTATCCAGGTGTAGTCCTAGGTAGCGGATTTGTTCAACATGAATAAGCCAGGTATTGTTAAAGAATACTGAAGGACAGGAAGTCATTGGTTTACGATGAAGGGTAAAGATAATTTGATGGGATTTATTTCAATTCTCCAGGTTTGACACCATTCTTAAAGGTTTGTGATGTGTGATTGAAGAGTTTGGGATACAATTGATGGGTTGTTATTAACTGAAAGAATACATGTATCATCAGCATACGTGGTAATGACAGTGTTAGGATGGGTTGGGATATCAGCTGTAAAACTGTGTAAAGGATAGGATCTAGGATACTACCTTGAGGAACACCAGCGGACTGGGAAAAAAGGAATGTATAGGCATTATTATGATTTACTTTGTAGGATCTATCAGTTAGATAGGAGCGGATAATGAGGAAGTATGTAGGGTGTAGGAATTCACGGAGTTTGTAGAGCAGTCCTGGGTGCCAGACATGATCAAAAGCCTGTTCTACATCGAGAAAGACTCCCGTGCAGTACATTCCACGCTCCAATGCAGAGGAGACAACAACCACCACACGATGACATTGCTGGATAGTGGAATGGGATCTGCGGAATCCAAATTGATGATCTGGGATAATGTGATTAGAATCTAGGATGGGGTACAGGCGTTTTAGGATGAGCTTTTCGAGGGGTAAAAGGGAGATAGGGCGATAGGAGGATGGATTTTCTGGTGGCTTTTTGGGTTTATATATCATTTTGATAATGGATTATTTCCAAGGGTGAGGAAAGTATGTGGATCGCAGTACAGCATTATATATAGAATGGCTTTCCGAGGAAGCAGTTTTAGGATATGGGAAGTAATTAGGTCGTTTCCAGGAGCTTTTCGGGAAGGTAACCTTGAATGATATCGGATATTTCTGAAGGATGAAAGGCTTTAGGTGGAAGAGACATTTGGAGTGGAATATCCAGTTATGCTTCAATACATTCAAGGTGATTTGGGTTAAGAATATCGGGGTGTGGAATATAAAAATTAAGAAGAAATAACAGGGTACGAATGTTAGAGAGAAAAAACTTTACGAACGAAGTGAACTGCTTGCCGTCTCAGGCCAGACTCTGTTGTAAAATAAATATATATATATATATATATATATATATAAATATATGTTGTAAAATAAATCTCTTTCCTCTCGTCTACTTCGACGACTTTGCCAGGCCATCCAATTTTTTTATTCTACCTGTATAAGATGTCATGGGCACAAACTTCACTTTTGTTCACTTCAAAATTTGTTTCATGCTACGACAGTTGCGATGGATAGTTTGAGCTGCTCTTTCCCCCACTATATTGTTGTTAAATTATGGGAGCACCTATAAATGAATTTTAAAGCCGTTATAAAAGAAATCCTCGACCCCTCTAACCACGTTCCTTTCCTTATAGAAACGTTTTTGTTACAACTACGAAAGCATCTCCATTTAATCTTCCTGTCGAACTTCATTTTATGACCAACATCACAATATTTGACCTTTGCAAATATCCCAGAGTCTTGAAAATATTTTATAGCCTCTTCTTCTGAAGATGGCAATTCTCACAATGTGACAACATCCATAATTAAATAACACTAACACAAGAAACAAAAAATAAACAAGGGAATAACTTAGGTTAGATGAGATAAGGGAGGTTATGTGAAATGAGATTAGATAGGAAGGGAAGTTTTGATGCTACCAGCTACTAAATAAGTGCCTGAGGAAGTATCTAGGTGGTAGAAATTTTTGGAGTTTGTACAGCAGTGCCAAACTCTATCAAATGCCTGTTCAACGTCGAGAAAGACTCCCGTACAGTACATTCCGTGTTCCAATGCAGACGAGACTACGTCTACCACACGATGACATTGCTCTACAGTGAAATGGAAGGAGTGGAATCCAAATTGGTGATCTGGGATTATGTGATTAGAATTTAGTATGGGTTACACACATTTTAAAATAAGTTTTTCCATTATTTTTCCCATGATGGGTAAAAGAGAGATAGGACGATAAGAGGTTGTGTATTCTGGTGGCTTTTTGGGTTTGTGAATCATTTTGACAATAAATATTTCCCAAGGATCAGGAAAATATGTGGATCGGAGTACAGCATTATATATGTAAGTAAGGAATAGAATGGCGAATTTTTAAGATCTGAGATGTTATTAGGTCATGTCCAGGAGCTTTGCGGGAGGTTAATCTGTAAAGGATGTTAGATATTTCTGTGGGATGAAATGCTGTAGATGGAAGGAACATTTGTAGAGGAATATCCAGTTCTGATTCAATACATTCGATGTGGGTTGGATTAAGGATATCGGGATGTGGGTGGAAAGTTTGGAAGAGATGTTGACTGAATATTTGGGCTTTTTCTTCGTTGGATTTGGACCAGGTATGGGATTCAGTAAGAAGTGGGTGATTAAAGTATTTAAACTTCAGAAGTTTTTTGGCAGTTGTCCATAGTGATTTGTCAGTTGTAAGATTTTCAGTTAGGTTAAGTAATTTTTGAGTATTATGTTTTCTGATTTTAGTTTGTTAGTCAATTCACTTTAATACGTTTTGTCTGAAGGATATCTAGTCCTCTGCTACTTCAATCTTGCTCTGCGTTTATCCCTTAATAAGATTCAAATATGTTGTGGCAAATTAATGTGTCATGAATTATTGTTTTTATTAACAAATGTTTTATTATTTATACTTATTGTTATAGATGTGGTAATTTTTTCTATAGCTTTATCAATATCTTGTTTTGTCTTAAGCGGATTTTTTAAGTCCAGTTTATTTTCCATATCATCACGAAATTTGTCCCAGTATACTTGTTCTGTAATCAGTTTAGGAGCAAAGTTTGAATGTAGTAAAAGCAGAACTGGACTATGATCTGAAGAAAGGTCATCCAGGGATTTGATCATGGCTTGGGAGGAGGAAATCTGGGAGATGATAAATATATCCAGGATATCGGGACTTTTTTTTCAAAGATGTTGGCCAATATGTAGGATTCATGGGGGAGAGGATTGAATAACTGTTGGAAGAAGAGACATGTGATAGGATGTTACTGTGGGAGTTGGATGTTCGACTACCCCATCGTTGGTGTTAAGCATTGTAGTCTCCTCTAGCAATAAAGCGTGCTCCGAGGGATTTGTTATTTTTAAATATAAACTTGACACAACAGTAAAATATACTCAAAAATCTTAGAGGCAAGGGTCAGAAGCACCGTAGAATCCAAGATTGGAGAGGAGCAGTATGGATTCAGGAGTCAAAGGAGCACACAGGATCTAGTTTTCACTATGCGACAAATCACAGAGAAGATTGTCGAGAGGGGAAAGGAACTATCAGTGTGCTTTGTAGATCTCTGAAAAGCCTTTGACCGGATTAGGAAAAAGGATATAGTTGAGGCTCTAGAGGAAAAAGGTGTAAATAATGGACTTTAAGGGCCGTAAGCAGTTTTTATGGAAATACGAGGAATCTTGTTAGAACAAGAAACCATACCTCTCGAGAGTTCAAAACAACACTGGGCATATGACAGGGTTGTAGCCTGAGCCCACTTCTTTTCGTACTGGTTCTCGACCTGGCGTTGGGAAAAGCAAAACAGAAGATGCGAAGTTTTCAGTTGGGTCACAGAGATATGCAGCCTACTCTATACTCTCTGCTGGCGTTTGCGGATGACCTCTTCATATTGGCCCAGAATGACCGTGACCTCCAGAACAATATTAATATCCTAAAGGAAGATTTAAGAAAAATCAATAAAAAAAATTAGCCCTGAGAAGACGAAATGCATGCGCATTGGAAGAAAACCTCACAGGGTTATGAGGGTATTGAGGGTCAATGGTGAGATTTTAGAGCAGGTGGACAGTTTCAAATACTTAGGTGCCCAACTCAACGAAAATAGATATATTGACGAGGAGGTAAGGCAGAGAATAGGAGCTGCTGGAAGAATGTTCGGCTCGGTTAGGAAAGGCTTTCTGAACCGAAAAGAGGTGACCAAGGAAACGAAGATGACGGTCTACAGATCAGTATTCCTTCCTATACTGACGTATTCTTCCGAGTCCTGGACACTTACTTCGAAACACAGGAGCCAGATCCAGGCTCTAGAGATGCGATACCTGCGAAAAGTGGAGGAAAAGACTAGACGAGACAGAATTCGCAATACTACAATCCGCGCCAATCTCGACGCCAAAGCGGTCGAAACCATTATAGAAGAACACAAGTTGAGATGGTTTGGGCACCTTCTCCGTATGGACCCGAACAGAGTCGCACGGAAGACATATGAGACTCGTGTGCAGGGTAGGAGACCAAGAGGAAGACCCAGAATCTCCTTGGAAGAAAGCATGCGAGATGCATTCCAGAAGCGAGGTTTGGAATGGAACAGGAGACGAGAGCTGGTACTGGAAAGGTCCACCTGGTCCAGGCTCTACAAGAAGCAACCTCACACTGCATAGGCGGTAAAGAGGAATATGACTATGATGATGATGACTTGACACAACAAATGCTGTTCGAAATAATGATGAAGGGGACAGCTCAAATTTTTTGCTGATGAGATAGGTTATGTTTAAAATATTTACAGAAGATCAAAGAACTTCGAATGTAAGTGTCATGCAGGGTAATCCCTATCACTAAATTTGATAGAAACCTAGAATCGTCTCAGAGATTAGTAATTATTTATGATGATCTATAAAGAACTGCTTTAAGAAACCAGTTAATCAATATTTCATGATATGAAGGCATGGAGGTTAAGATGGACTGACCATATAACTCAGGGTAATCCTTCAAGAAGCCTCAACACAACAATAAATGCCTCAGTCATTGGCAAGATACCATGTGGACGACCAAAATACAGTGGGATTGATACTACAAAAATGCTGTAGACGTGCAGTTAACTGGAAAGAAACACCTCCCAAAAATGCCTTTTTTTCTGTAAAGCCAACAGAAAAATAAATAATCAAAAAAATAACGATGGTCTTTATTTTTTAGAAGTCATCTTAATACTTGCACCAACAGTTTTTCTATGTAAAGTTATTTCTCATATAAATAGTTAAACATTTTTTTTAAAATTCCAAAAGGGTATATCAATTTTTCGAAATGCTTATATTTTCTGGAAGAATGTATAAAATAATATAAACATTTAATATACATCTAGTGAAAAGCATTAATTTGGATACTCTTTGGTACTTCTGGTATAAATATCTATTTATGCTCATGAATTGAAGTAATTAAGTCAAGCAAGCTCATAAATAAGTTCATTTCATTATGTCTTGAGTACAATTTTTCCTTGAATAAAGATAACATTTTATTTATCAATAAATTTTCCATTACTTTAGGGTGCAGAAGCTAATACACAATCATCAAATCATATGCCAGAAAAAATGGACTGTGATTAATAAAGGTATACATCTAATCTGAGTATTATTAGTTGATATTTTTTTAAATATAGTTCTAATTTTTTTTTTAATAACTTGTTTATTAAGAAATATTACATTTTGTCTCAATTCAGCACAAATTCTAATTAATGTTAATTAACAAAACTATGTTTTTATTATTTTAATACGGGTATACATCTTCAGTGAAGATGTAGCTTTTATCAGCAAAAGCAATTTTTATTCCATTTCTTCTAAATCTCTGCCAGTAGTATTAATTAATAACAGTTTAATTTAATGAATAATGAAAATTAGCACCATTGAAACATTTCTTTGTATTACAGTAGTTAAACAAACCCTTTTAACTATTTGCCTTGCAATAGTATAAGTATAATTTATTTAGTGCTAAACTGTTAATTTGTCACATTTTATTAAGTGATCTAAACAGGTTATTTGTGTTTTAACTCATCATGCTGGCTGAAAAGTAAGTAAAACATTAAGTTCAACTAATTTTACTTTTTATTTATTACAATCACAACAGGATATACAAGACATATTATAGGAAGAGATCTTATGCTTCAGGAATTATTTATTCGTTGTCTTTTAAAAAACAAAACCGACCAATATAAGTAGAATTGGATGTGATGATTTAATTATTATTCAGTTGCATGAGAGCTCAAAGATTTTTGTTCTTCTTGTACTTTCATCTGATTTGACGATAAAAAAAATTAAGTCGAGCAAATGAAATTGAATAAAGTGGCAGGGATTCGAGATATTTTGAAGTTAAATCAGCTGTATGACATGAGAGGGTTCATTGGCACCTGGGAATGTCCCCTTTTAGTTTGATGTAACATTGTACTGATGTTTCTTACATGCTTAATAATGGTTAAACAGCTATTCTCCAAAAGGAGGGGATCATTAGCACTTTGGAATGACTCAACTAAATTTAATGAAACTTAGTATTTTTGTATCTCAATTTAAAAACTGGGTGCACAATGATCTCCAATTATAATTTTATTATTATGTGTTTTGTTTCCAACTAAAATAATAACTTATCAAATATAATTATAGAATATCAATAGCCTTAAATGATAATTTTGTAACTAAATTTTTTGGCATAATTTATATATATATATATATATATATATATATATATATATATATATATATATATATATATATATATATATATATATATATATTTTTTGGAAAATATGAACAAAACTGGTTGAAAACAATATTAATTACATTCAAATTCAAAACAAAAAATTTGGTTGACAAATTTATTGTGCAAGGTTATTGATATACATTTGTATAATGTGAATTCTAATACTTTGAGCTCTATTTCACTCATGTTCTTGTTTCTATTATAGGTTCTCCAGTTCATTCAAATTCAAATTCAAAATTAAAGATTTTCAGTATTATGTCTTCTGTGATATTTTCATGTCATATAATGATTTATATTTAATATTGTTATTGCTATTGATATTTTTTTCTAGTTTTTAAATTTATATTTTTTAAATGTATGTTTTATTTTTTTTTAAATAATAGTTTTAATTTTTCCTATTTTATTTGTGTACAGTGTTCCTTAATTGTTTTAACTGTACTGTTGTAAGTGTTGAAATTATTTTAGTAGGAACCACATACATTCCAATTTTTCGTGTTGGTTTGAAAAGAACTTAAATTTATTACTAAGTTTATCATACTTAGTTGTTATTAGCTTAGATAAACAAAATATTGTATTTTATTTTAAATGTATCTATTTTAAAATAAAGAAATTTAACAACCTTTTAAAATTTTTTTCTTAAAAATAGTGTGTTTTTTGTTGTTATTGCTCAATTAGTTGAAAACAATTATATTCTAAAAACTATGGTGGCAGAACTATTTTGGTTAGAATACCCTGAAGCTAATTATCTTCGATCTGTGTCATCCTGCAATGCTTTCTTTTATTCGCAAGTTTAAACTTCTATGATTAATACCTTTTTTTCCCCAAGATATTTATATCCTGGTTTTATGGTATAATAGATCTTAGGTTCTTCCCATAGGAGGTGTTCCAGCACAAGTGGATGTTACAGCTTTTAACCTCATTTAAACAGCATTTATTTTTCCATCTCCTCAGCTATCAATCTTCCGAATAAATTTAAGAATAATGTTTTTGTGTTTTAGAGATGTCAATTTCATTATGCTGTTATCTTATTGATACCTATATATTATCTATTATTTATATATGAACACACTCATATATATCTATCTATGATTCAAATGTTAACTTGTGGCTTTCTATCATTTTAATTTCAAAACTCTATAACCATGTAATTTAACTAATACTTGATCATCTTTTTATGTCAGACTAATGTCACCAAATTGTTTATTGTAATTATTCTTAAGGGACTGAATGTCCCGGAATAAAATTGTTTTTCTTTTTTTCTTTCTAAAGCAATCTCAGAGATTTTTTTTATTTTATGTATGATTAAAACTTATTAATTACACATTTTGAGGATTGAGATTATTGAGCCAATCTTTCAATTGATAATTTCATAAAAATTTAAAATTTATTTTTTACATGTTTTAGTTTGATTGACTCATTGAGATTCTATTATTGAAAAAGTGGATGGTGGTAGGTTGGGAACATACATGTGGGTTTTATATTTTGGCTTTATATTTATTGAACGTTGCTTATTATTTATTTTAAAAACCATTTTGACAATATTTTAAATACAGGAAATTATGATCTGTCCTCCTTCAGAGTACCAGAGTGCTGACCCTGTAATAGAAAAGCTGAGTAAAGAGGAAGTTGAAGAAGCTATCGGAAAATTAAAATCTAATTATGCAGCGGGAATCTATAATATTCCTAGTGAATTAGTTAAGGCATGCAGGGAAACTGGAGTTTGTAAAATACATTTGTTGGTTAAAAAGATGGGAGAATGAGAAGTTACCTGAAGAATGGAAATAATCTATTCTTATTCCATTAAAAAAAAAAAGGGCCCAAAGACGGATTGTAATAACTATCTAGGAATTTCACTCCTTCCGGTATGTTATAAGATATTCACTTTAATCTTAACTAGTCGAATCACAGAATATGTCGAGGAAATTATCAGAGACTACCAATGTTGATTTAGACCAAGCGTTCAACTATTGATCAAATGTTTTCTTTACAGGAAATATTGAAAAAAAAGTTAGAGTACAACGGTGTTGTTCACTAGTTGTATGGAAATTTCAAAAAGGCTTATGATTCTATTGACTGCCAGAAACTGTATAACATTCTAATCGAGCAGGGAATTCCAAAAAAATTAGTAAATCTAGTCAGAATATGCTTGACGGAAAAATTCAATAAAGTTAGAATCGGTAATAATTTATATGAAAAGTTTGAAGTTCGTTGGAGTTTAAAACAGGGTGATTCCCTTTTGCCTGTCCTGTTTAATTTGGCATTAGAACATGCCATTAGGGAGGTAATGCGTACCAAAATAGGGTTGAATCTGGGTGGGACAACACCCATGCTTGACTATGCGGATGATCTGGTCCTGCTAAGCGAAGACGTGGAAACTAAATATTTTATATAACTATAAGAAACTATTGACAAAAACGTTAATGAAAGCCAGTAAAGAACTAGGGCTCAAAATAAACACGGTAAGACAAAATATATGGTTAGCTGCAAAAATGGCAATATCGATATAGAAGGTAATATGTTTGAATATATAGAGAAGTTTAGTTATCTAGGGTCTTCAATAACTAGAAAAAACGAAATTGAAGAGGAGATTAAGGTTAAGCTGAAGGCAGGAAATGCCTATTATTTTTTGTGACAAAACTACTTTGCTCGCGCTTCTTGTCCTGAAACTTAAAAACTAGAATCTATAAAGCTATTATCTTACCTACAGTTCTTTATGGATGCGAAACGTGGCCGCTTATATTAAGGGATGAGAAGCGTCTTAAGGTTTTTGAAAATAAAGTATTGAGTAGAATATTCGGACCGAAGAAGGATGAGTTAACCGGGGGCTTCAGACGGTCACACACACTGAATTGCGTGAACTGTATCCGGTTAATATAATTGAGATGATTAAATCACGACGAATCAAATGGGCTTGTAAAACTGTTGTGCTTAGTAATGAAAGAATTCCTTAAAGGGTAATCTTTGCTGTACCGAATGGTAAACGTCCGAGGGGTAGACCGAAGGGAAGGTGGGAAGATCGCGTTAAAGCCGATCTGAAGGGACTGACTGGGTTTGGATAGGGAACGGTGGAGGGAAGTGTGTAATAAGCGGTTGGTGATGTCGGCATCGAACCTTTGGGTTTGCTAAGTCTTTTATAATTATTATTTATTTTTTCTGAATGAAAAATATAAGTAAATCTCTTATTTTTTAAATTTAATTGAGTCTAAATAGATTATTTTCATTCCTAGGAATTAGAATTTAGATTAAATTTAAAATAGGTAATTCCTACCAAAAGAGGTCAACTCCAAGTGGCTATTCTGATAATTTAATCGTATTGGGTTAAGATGTGAAAAATAAATACAAATTTATTGCCTAGTAGCAAACAAACTAATGATTTTGGTTGTATAGATATAATAATAATATAAGGAGGAATAATTAAACAAATTAAATATTTAGGTTCTACAGGGTCTAAAAAAAAATCATCAAGAGGAAGTACGGTTTAAGGCTAGAAATGCTTGGTATTTTTATGTTTCCAAATTATTGGGTTTGTAAATATTGTCTATAAACCTTAAAGTAACAATTTATATCATCTTATTACTTCCTACTGCAATTTAAATAAAGAATTAAATAAAATATTAAGTCTGAAGAAGGTGAGTATATTTTTTATGACTACACGTTGATACTTAAGTTGTTATGCTTCATAACAAGAAAATAACCAAAAAAGAGTAATTATCGTTAATTGACAGGTAAAGACCTCATGAGTGAATCGAAATCTGTATAGAAAGATGTTTCAGTTCTAATCTTGTGTTTTTTGATTTGAATTGTGTTCAGTGGAGAGAGACAGTAGACCAAGATTTTATTGTTATGTGCATTGACCCTCCTTTTTTGTTAGGCCTTATTGAGCAGGAAATAAATCATTTTGCAAAATGCAAAAGTCATAATGTTGTGGTTTTTTTTCTTGATATTGAGATTATTTCTTTGTCTCTATATTGACATTAAAAATCCAAATTTCTGACATCGATAAGTCACTGGAGGAAGGCTATTATTTTCAAGAAAATGCCTACAATTTTTATTCATTTTTCATGGTGCTCAATATCATACTACCTACCATGAAAAATGTTATAGTAATTATATTTTTTTTTGTTTAAAGCATAGAAGATTTTATTAAATTATGAGCTCTATTAGAGCTCTGCACATTTAATAATTTTTGAAATTTATTTTAAAAAAACTCTAAATCACCATTTCATAATAAAAGGAAATATGGAAACCATTATTCATAAAATGAAGATTATTATATACTAATTTTATATATAATTATTTATTGGGTTGTCCGTAAAATAATGCAGGATTTTGAGTTAAAATGCCTCTCTATATAACAAACTTTTTACGTTGACTGGATTATTCATTTGTATGAATGTCAACACTTATTAATCCTCCTCCAAACGATAATGTTTGCTTGCCTCCGTAACATTTCGCAGCTTAAAAATAATTCAGTGATTTTCGTATAATTTTGTTTAACGAGTTTAAAGTCGACCGAAAGGGGGCCCAGAAAAATCAATCACGTTTAAGACGAGAGCAGCATTAATGAGTGCACTGTTCAACGGTGGATCAAAAAATTTCGGGAGGAAGACTTCAGCCTTGAAGACAAAGAAGGTCGTGGAAGGACTTCCTCTCTTGATTGCGATGTTATACTGGCTTTGGAGGAATAAAATCCCAGAACAATTGCTCGAAAACCTAATTAACCTTAGCAAATCTACCTTCGATGGCCACCTCAAGGGGATTGGAAAGATAAAAAAGCTTGGTTGTTGGGTTCAACACACATTAAACGACTGCCAAAAAAAACTGTTATGGATTTTGTGCTACACTTCTTTGCTGAAACAGAAATGACCCTTTTCTGTCCAAAATTGTTATTTGTGATGAAAAGTCGATACTTTACTATAACAGAAGACGTTCTGGACAAAGGAGAAACAGCAGAACATTTTCCAAAGCCCCCAACTCATCAAAAAAATATTATGGTTACTGTTTGGGGGCCTTCATTTGGTTTGATACACTACAACTTCTTAAATCCTGGAGATGCCGAATCGTATTGTAACCAAATTAATGCAATGCATCAGAAATTGGCAATAATGAAGCAATCTTTGGTCAATTGGAAGGGACCAATTTTGTTGCATGACAACACCCGGCCATATGTCTCACGAATCCTGCCATATATCTCACAAAAACTGTTGGATCTTGGATATGAAACTGCCACATCCGCCCTACTCTCCGGACCTCTCTCCTACGGATTATCATT